AAATCCACACTCAGAAACGCAATACCTAAATATTCGAACTCGATCCAACATCAAACAACGGATAACACGGATTTTTTAAAGAATTTCGATTGGATCTAACCAATTTTTATCTCCCTGTAACTTTTTTTTTCAATATCTCCCAACCCTAATAATTATCTCATGTCTAACAATTAAAAAACTTATAATACTTGTACTTAATATGTATTTACAACATTCACATCATCGCTGGTTGACGTGAATGAGTTGAATAAGGGTTGACTCATATCTTTTAATTCATCACTTTTTAACTTACAATTAGAATTTATTTAAAAAACGTGATATTCCCTTAATGATCAAATTTTATAAATAAAATGCTTGAAGTTTACCGCACGTTCAATTTTTTAATAATACCCATTATTAATAAATTGAATAATAATTTTACATATTACTCATTAAGGGGCCTCTAGCCTAGCATTTATTAAGGTGCATTGTAAAGACAATTTTTGACTAAAATTTAACATAAAGCAAACATTCGTAAAAAAAAAAATTATATTAACATAAAAGAGGGTTTATTTTGATGTTTAATTTTGTTTTCAACTTATATAACGTATACAGGCTCTATTTTTGTATAACAACATATGTTTCTACTTCAAACAAAATGTTCTTAAAAATAATCTGACTGAGTTTTTAAAAAATATTAGGGTTCTTCAAAGCATTTACAAAGTATTGAACGTAGCACAATTAAATATTTCTGTGAAAAAATGCAATTTTTTAAAAAAATTTAATGATTTTTACAATTGACAGTAACATAAAAAGAAATTTAAAAATCTACTTCAATCGATACATCAAGCAAATATATAAAAACCTATTTTTCCTAATTATTGTTTGACTACGAGTTTCAATGGCCCAAACCCTAAAATACCTAAGCCAGTTCCAGAAGCTGTTAATGTTGTTATTGATAAAAATGTATTTACAGCGGCATGGCCGTTATTATGAAAGTGTGTTTATATAAAAAGCCGGATCTCTTCATTATGACTGTAGTGGACTTATTAATCAAATAAACTTTACACAGAAGATAGCATCATTTAAAAAATCGAAAACCTTACAACTTTGTATTATTTAATAAATAAGTATATACTATATACATGTTTCTAAAGAAAAAAGATCATCGACAGAAAAGCGAAAAGAGATTATAATCTTACACCCGAAAACTAAAACGTGGCTGTTCTGAGAGAGTCATTTTTTAATTTTCGATGGTAACTACTGTTATAAAATTATTATTATAGATTAGTCATCCCATGATACTATCTTCATACTGTTTTTAATATACACAATATTTGGCCATTAAGAATTACCAAGATTGTATTTAATAATTTTTTTTCACGCTTTATAGTGACTTTTAAATAAAATAAAACGTACTAAAATGACGATAAACATTATATAATTTAATTGTTGCTAAATGCTTTGTGAGATTTTGACTTTTTTTAGGGATTCTAACGATAGATTAAAAACCTAATCGTTTTCATATAAAATTAACCATTAAACCATATTATATGGTTCAAATTATTTCTATACTATAATATATTATGTGTGAGGATGTTAGAGTTGCTAAATGTATGAAACTATATATGTACACAAGAATGAATATAATATTATCATAGATTTTTTTATACTTAATAGCAGTACCATCCCCGCGTAATACTATACCGATGTAATCAAACTAAAATTGTTTTTATTACAAATATGTGCTGTTTTTTGATTTTATACTACATTCATAAAATACAAATATATTCTAAGTATACCTAATCTAATCTAAGCTAACCAATCTGTAACTATATTTTAGTTGTATGCTAATTCTTAGTAATAAATTTGGCTCGAAATTAGGAAAATTAATTATGATAAAAAATAATTGTCAACGTTTTATGACGTATGTTTTGATGTTGCTTGACTGTTCTGCATTATTATTAATGAAGAAATTATGAAAATACCCCATTACAACAAAATTGTATCAATTGTAATTGTAACAGGATTTGAAATATTTAACATTAGGAATACTTTTTTTTTCTTCTGAAAATGTCATCTTGCGCATTAAATCTTTTTAAAAAAAAAAAACATCAATCAAATTAAATTAATAATATTATTCGGTACAAAACTCCAATGTAGTGTGAATATTTATCGCTGGTACAATTTGAAGTTGTGTGCTCATTTTTTTAACCCGAATAATCAAATGAAAGGCTGTTCAAATGTTTGAGGTGTTTGCTCACCAAGCGCTCCTAGTTCGGACTACGTGACGTTTTCATAAGCATATTTCTTGTATACGGAATTCGTTAAGCTCAAAACACTGTACATTAAACTGCTTACTTATATTTCATCCCCCATCGCTAACGATTGTTTTCTTATTATGTACGCACAAACTGAATTCATTACGTTAACTCGAGTCCCGTCTTCGAACAAATGTGTTTGAGTAGTAAATCGTTTGATAAATTGTATGTGTGAATCCGACAGGGTGTGGATGTGCGAGGGAAATATGAAATGCATTGTGGCGTCTAAGCGATCATATTACACTAATAACTTGTTCGTCCTTTGAATAAGATAGCAAATCTTTGTGCATCCCTTCCTCAGCCCTCCTCAACTAATTTTAAATAGATAATAAATGGCGAAATATCATAATATTATTTTGTTTTATCACAAACGGGTTTAAACGTTTTTACTATATTATCTAAATGTAAAAATCTTTGAAATATTTCTGGTTTTTGTTTTGTGATTTATTTTACTATTTGGAAACATTGTTTTGTTCCATTGCGCCTGGGTTTAAAATAAGCCTCAAGAGACTTTAGGTGTGTCAATAGGTATATATTTTCTGTTTTCTTGGCTTTTTCCCTGGAGAATTGTTGTTCACAGAGCACTTAATACTCACAAGCGTAACGCTCGCCGAGTACCACCGACTCAGCCACACATAATATACAGAGGTTTTGGGATAGAAAAGAAAGCAAAAATGAGATTTTATCAAGCGCGGCAGTCTGCCACCAGTACCTAATGGCTTTACGTTAATAATAACGAACTCACACTACAGAAACAATTTATTTTAGTTGTTATCGTATCCTATATTATACAAGCAGCTACTGCAACAGATTGCACACAACTTCATATTCTAAATTTTTAATATTATTAAATGAATAAACAAGCACATTAATCTAGGTCGTTACTCGTAACTTGATTTGGACTTTAATTTAGAGTAAAATATTTTTTTTTAATACATTATGCATCATTAAATACAAGTAATTAATAACGGTTTACATTACATTATAATTATTGCAGTCGTTTGTTGTAGTAATACCCATATTACTTATCCTTTTATAGTGTTTTTTCTTTCATTGTTTTTGTAATTCTTGCTGATGAGCAAGTACTTAAGCACAAACAATAGATATGCTTCCAATGTAACGTAATGTAATCCAATGTAATGCCTTGTAAATTGTTACCCATAGTCCAAGAGTTAAACGTCATTACAAGTGTGAAATTATATTAGTCTTTATTTAATTAACCATAGAATTAAATATTCTCGTTCTCATTGTACTTATGTTTTGTGCCCTTAATAGTGACCATACAAAATTCGATTAATATTATTTATCAATTGCCAAATAGGTATAAACATACATTTATTAAAATGTATAATATATAGTGAAATATTTAAATTAAACATTTTTCAATTGCGGAAATTTATCATAAAATCTACTTATGGGAAATTCTATTTATAAAAATTAGGCTAGCAGACGAACTATAAATTCAATCAAGTTCGATCAACCATGTACTTTTCATTGTATTTATTGTACTTTATATTTATAAGAAAAATGTGATGATAAATATGAATATTTCTTTGGTTCCGGGTTGAAACGGCTTAAGTGAATTTTACTAATTATTTTGCCAATTGAACTTTAAATCTACGGAAAAAAATTTTTTGTGAAAAATTGACTTAACCACATTTCTGAGGTACCTTATATAAAAATACGGTATAGTTATTTTGTAGTTTACAAAATGATAAAATAATATATTTGTTTTGTTTTATTTTGTCTACATAAAACTGTTTTCATAATATGCTATACGGGGCGAAATTTTTATGTCTAAATTGCCATATTTTACAAGCTAGTCGGAAACGATAAAATCGAATTATGTTTCATTAATGAAAACATGACACATATTTTGGTTTGGTTCAACTGTATTTCTCACGTTCAGCATGACTTTTAAATTATTATATTATGTTTGTATTTTTACTCTAACTGATATTTACTTCTTCTTGTAATACAGAAAAACTAGATTCATTTAAGTTGCTGACAATTCTTTTTTTTTTAACCAAAATTACTTTCAAACATACGATACATAGCAGAAATACATTTTTTCATACTGAAAATATAAACCAAATCGAAACCTTTAATTTAACTTCGGAAAATTCTTTGTAGATCTCTATCCTCGTGTACTAATTTTTCAATGATAATTAGTTACTTATAAAATAGGTTACAAATACTGTCATTAGCTGAATACTAGTGGTTGTTATGAACATGACTTTTAGACACAATATTTTGCTTCGTTTTAAAGGCTGTAATTGTAAATTAAGACATATGATTTATAATCTTGAAATATTTAACAACCGATATTTTTGTATCACTCCTCTGGGAAATATTTAAACTAGTTAATACAAATTAAGTTTTAAACATATTCATTGAATATTACTATTTATTATAATTACACACAGAAAGCTGAAAATATCAAGTCTTCTCCTCTCATTTCTGAGTACAAAAAAAAGTTTTGATAGGTGTAAGGCGAAAGTTTTTTTCTTTTACTTTAAAATATTAATGTATCTTTAAAATATCATAAACACTGAAACTTAACATTATATTATTTACTTGTGACGTACGATTTGTAAGTAGTTTTTAAAATTAAATTGTTTGTACCTAAATACATAAAAAAATGTTTGTGTAACCTTTGAAAAATGGTAATAAAAATTCCATTTTATTTTATTTTTCCAGGGTACGAGTGGAATATTACGTGAACGAGAACACATTTAAAGAACGCTTACAAATATATTTTATTAAAAATCAACGCTCAAGTACGTGGCACTTTAAAATATTATATCTTATGTCGCAGAAACAGAGTTATATAAAATCAATTAATTCCAACCGCTTATAGAACCACGATCGCGTAAAAGGCCTAAAGAAAATAATTTGAATAGCACACTCTGTAATAGTATTATATTAATTGTGATACTATTATATTAATACCAGTGTGACTATGTTGACAGCAGAATACAGAACAAAAAGCTTTGTTGTCTACAACATATACATATTTGTATTATTATACGTTTAATGTTTATCACTATATTGCTGTCAGTATTTTTGTGACGATAATTGATTTAATAATAAGTACCCAGAAAACAGGTAACTACAATAGTTTTTTATTTCAAACATACGAAAAGAAAAAAACAGTCTTTATTAAAATGGAAGATTAACCATTTTAAGTATAATATTTTGTAGTTTTTTATTTCCAGTAAAATAGAACTATATGTTTTAATATCTTTCTGGCTCAACACTAAAATAGTTTTGGATTCCGGTTACACAGACGGACTACACCGATTATTATGTACTAATACTTTCGATTATAAAGATGGGTTTTTGATAGAATAATATACAATTTAATGGTTTAACTTTTTTTCTGTGTCAAATTCAATTTGCTTATAAATCCCTGCATCCAGGGGTATTACTGTTACTGATTATGTCCACATGAAAACATTTAATAATAAAATAATTATTTTTTTTTCAGGTCTTCGTATTCGTATCGTCAATTTATTTTTTAAACTATTAACATGTTTACTATATATTATCCGAGTCGTGCTCGATCAAGATCCTACTTTCGCGACGTGGTAAGCAATTCCTCTTAGACTTTAATTATGATAAAACTGTGAAAGCAAATTTAATATTGTGCTGTTGCCAATGAAAGAGCATCAATCATAGCAGTCCATTACTCATCAAATGGTCAATATATATCGTGTAAAACCGTAGTGGTGTAATGTGTAAACAATGTTTTTTTTTACTACATGACATTGAGTGAAATATTGATCATTAAACGCCGTTGTTCAACGTGCTTTGCCAAAGCGGAATTTAATATATATTCAAATTTTCGACGCTTTATAACTCATTTATACAACGCCTAACACGAGTTTGGATATTTTACATAAAATTACCGAACATCTAACAATAAAGTAAATGCTAAAGCACATCTCGAATTTCAATCAAAAACGAGAAGTTAATATCATAAAAGGCAGCTGCATAAAGTTCCTATACATACTAAATCGATAGCTCCTAACAATATTCATGTTTTATTTAAACTTACTATAAGATAATGTGTGTGTGTGTGTATATTATATTAACATGAATTTTTTTTTTAAAGTAATTGAGTCAAAAAATAATGATTTAATAAAATATTTTTTTTTTTTTTAAATGTGTATTACTTGAAAAAGTTCAATTATAAAAATTGTTAATTATTTTTGCGTTGATCTGTTCATTAAAACGTGAATATGCAATAGTATGTTGATAACTAAAGTGTACTAAATTGTACCATGATAAAATGTTTTGTTTTAACGAGTACAGGAAAAAAACATGTTGTTAATAGAAAATGTCTTTTTTTATTATATTACATAATATTGTATGAATCTGAATGGTATTTTGTAAACAGTTATGGGTGCCAAGTGGGGAACAAAACCGAATTCCTACTAAGCCGAAATCTAACGGACGAGGCTTTCCAAGCAAGACCAATCATCAATTGGGACGCCATTCAATGGGTGAAGAGGCCTTTCGAGTTATGGATACTCGAGTGTGGATTAGCCGTGTTCGCTCTCTGCGAGTCGCTGCTTCTCACGTATATTGGGTATAAGGTAAACAAAGAACAAAAAAATAGAACAAATTGAAAACCTATTTTATTTATTCGATTAAACTTTAAGTATACACTCGCATTACGACCAGATGGGTAAGGTTAATACCTACTTCTATTGTTAAGTCAGATATGAATTTAAACACGTATACGATAAGGTACTAGCCCGAAGCTTTTTTGATTAATAAACAAAATTAAATATATATTAAGATTGTGAAACCACTAATTATTTAGAACCGATATTGTGGTTATCGAGACGTATAGTGTTATTCCGCTATTTACACTATTTCAAGTTAAAAGGAGTTCGACGGAAATTCTTAAATTCTTAGTAAATAGTATAAAAGCGAAGACGTTCCGCAAGCGTCGGTTGTTATTGAAAGAAAAAAAAGTTCAGGGATATTCGAAATATGAAGTGTTTATTTACAAGAATGGGAATTCAACGCAACACGATCAAACAATATGGCTGTCAAACGCATAATACAAACACGAATTTTGAAATAAAGCTCCTGGGAGGGGGGTCTTTTTTTATGTTTAATTTGACTGCGGTTGATAGGCACACAACAAAACACTTTGCGTGGGTGGGACAGCTCTTTAAGAATTACGACAAAAAGCGAACTGAATTTATGTTGCTGATCGGCCTAACTAAGTATTAATAATAATAACTAAATGTTTGACTAAAAAACACGTTGTCATAATTATTAAGTATTCATTAAAATATGATATAAAACATTATTTTTACATTTTTCAAAGTAATACATTCTAAGCTAAACTATAAAAAATTAACAGTATCCACACTTCATGTAAATACATCAATACATGAATATGTCCTGATAATTGTATGATTATTTTCGATCAATAATCTCCTTGCGATATATGATGATAGTATAGTCAATGTTAATAATGTAATTGTAATAATGTTAATTATATGTTCTGGCCAAACGTTTTTTAGTAGTTTTGTAATATCTGGCCTGAATCGATTTACCGGCAACATTTATGTAAGGCCAATAAGTAAGTTCCTACCTAACAAAATCATTTGACTATCCTTATATTATATCCTAATATATCATTACATCCTTATATATATATCCTTATACAGTACATTCAAATTATTTATCGGCTGTTTCATTTACAAAACAAGCGCTAGAGTACCTAATCTCTTATCTTTAATATCTTATCACTTATCTAATAATTATTGATCAGATCTTTCATTAAAAAAACAACAGCTAGCTCGTGCCACACGCACATATTTTCTTATTAACCCCCAGCCAAAAGACATACTCATGTCAAAAAAAAAATTATATAATAATTATTTGTTTAGTTTTAACGCTCTAATTAAATTTTTTACTGCCTTCTCCTATGATGAGGTTTTTGTCGATTTAAAAATAATAAGAACTAAAGTAACAATATAGTATTTTTTTTGCCCATAAAACAGTGAACAAGTGTTCAGTAGTATTCATATTCTATTTAAACTAAAACATATAGAATGTAGATATATGGAGTAAATACAAAAAAAAAAATGGTGATTTTAATTATTAATGGAAAAAGAGTATTTGACTAGCGTTCCCCATTATTCATAACATAACATAAAAAATGAAAACATTATAGTAAATTGTGTAGTTTGTAATATAATATAGAAATGGTGACAAACCGGGGCACTATTTAAATAAAACCTCAAACAATAAATACTATTTTTTTTTATTTAAACAAGTATCTAAATAATAATTTCATATGTCTAATAAAATAAAATACATTTTTATCTGAAATATCAGGTAATTTGAATAAAAAAATATATTTAAGGAAAATATTATTTTAAATTATTACTTGAAACAACAAAAAAAATATCAATTTCAATTACAGATTATTTCGATATATTTGGGTTTAATATTCAACAATTATTTGACGTGCTAAGCAGAAATGTAAGTGTTTCAGTCATAGAAGTCATTATTTCCGTGTAATTTTTCGATATTTGTCAATTAAATAAAAAATATATTCAGGTTTGGTAAATATTAACAAAAACAGGGATTTCATGAAATCACAGGTGAAATCGCATTTTGCAATATAATAAAATAGATTTTTCATTTTTTTTCAACTTACATTTTATTGTAATTTTTTAATCTGTAGTGTAACGTGACAGAGGATTTCTTTAATACCGATATTGGAATGCCTGAAATAGTTTTATTTTCCCTTAGTCGTCGATGAAACCACGTTTACCCTACACCATCGGTCAATATTTAGTATTAAACAAAAACAATTTTTTAATAAAAAAAACGCATATCGCACTCACAGAGATTTTTGTTACTATCCCTTTTTAATGGTGTTTTATTTTTTATTTGCTAATCATTTAACAATATAACTTTACTATATTTGATAAGAGCTGCGGTCACTGAGCTGTATGGTATACCAAAGCACACAAAATCAACAGACGGTCCAAAATTAGGGGATGTTGATAATGGTAACTAAACCAGCACCATTATTAATAACACTAATTACCCGACTTTAATTTTCACTTTCAATAATTATTGTTACTACCTATTAATTTTTTTTATTTTACATTTTTTTAAATTTATTGATTTGATGCCTTCACATTAAAAGTCATAAAAGTGTTATCAATGCACATAGAATTATTATTAAATATATATAATAAAACGTTTTGAAGAATAATAATATCTTTTGAATATTTTATGGCTAAAAAGATAATAAATATATTATAATTTAATTTATTGTCAAAGACTAAAATTTAGTAGTGTCTATACAGCCAATATTGATAACACAGAAGTATACTAAATTTGTTTAAAATAATATGCCATAAATATTTAGCTGATAAAAATGTTTATAATAATATTGTTTAAGTAATTCTTTATTTAAAATTGGGCTAATAAAATATATAACCATTGAAACCACTTTTTTCTTCGTGCAATCCAATTTATAAAATTATCTTAATAAATCAACATGATTATATAAACATTTGATTTTTAACTATTATAGTCAGCACTCAGGTTTATGAATGAAAATCAAGTTATGTCCATCCCTGGAAGTAATGTTACACATTGATGTTTTTGAACGCAACTAGAAATTGTTAAATCCCATTTTAGTAATTTGACAACCGATTCAAGTGCTCTCTAAGGAAAAAGTGGACTTATTGTATTTATTGTTTGACTGCAGAACAAAAATCACTCTTTACTAATTTAACTAGGTATTTATTTACTGTAAATGATTGTACTAGGAATGGTTTTTTTTTTACTTTTACTATAAGATGTTCACATCAGCTATACTATACTTGTGCTATAATGTGTCGAGAAAATCGCTACTCTGAGAGCCATTACGGTGGAAAGTTGGATTAGCCTAATAGACACGAGGCGACGTATAACTTATCACACATTTTTACGTTAGCACTATATATATATATATATAGAGAGATTTTTATGTTCTGAATTTCTCAGGCAACATACAATACGAGTAGATTAAAATATTTTTGTGCTTTAAAGCCTTTCTGTGTGTATATGTAATATATACAAAAAAAAATCATTGTTCTGAACGTCTATACCCACGCGATATGCAAAAAAAAGCTTTTATAAGCAAAGGACTCACAGCTGGACGTGTGGTTAAGGTTACTATATTATAGTAATTAAAAACAATCTTGAAAACAATATCACGAGTCATAATATATATTTTATTGTACCACTAGAATTCCATTGTCGCAAATAATAAGTCAACTGTAAAATAATATTGTATTATGCTGGTAGAAAAAATTATTTAATCTTAGTGAAGGCATATTGCTTTTAATTTTTGTTATACATAATAAATGTGTACATGATTTTAATTTAAAACTACTATAATATGATTCCTAACACTAAGTAGGTTAGGCCAATAAAACTGTTATATTTAAAGATTGACTTATGCATATAACTTTATATAATCGTTATTTTTGTAGGAAATCCCATTATTGTTTTACACTATATATTATTGTTATCCCATTATTGTATTGGTGTATATTAATAATACTACTTGTCCTTTTATAGTTACTGATAAACACCAATTATATGAACTGTAATAATTTACTAACATATTTTATGCAAAACTAAATCTTAAACATAATATTGTACTAGTAAATTATTTTTTACAAAAGGTCGATTGAAGTAAAGTTGTTCACAGAAAAGCTTCAATGAACATATTGCATTTCAATCACGTTTTATGGAGATTTAGAGAATAATATAGCGAAAGCTAACCGTTCGTTATTTTTTATCGTTATTTTGTCATCGACAAAAACATAAAAAAATATTATGGAAATTAATTTGATTCTACATTAGTGATTAGAAAAAAATAATGTTTTTTTGTATACCTACATCAAACTAGTCATATTTTTTAATATTTTCCGGAATCAACGAATTAATTCTTAGCATATTTAATAAAAATTATAATTACATTACATTTAAAAATATTTTAGATTCGATACAATTTCAAGAAGATATTGTATTTGCAATGATGTTTTTTTAATTTTTGTTGTGCCTTTGAACTGAATTACTCAACTAGCTTTGATATCAATCTGATACTGCAATTGCAAATAGCAAAATTAACTCTAGATGTTTTTTATTTAAATTGCAGAACAAAACAATTAAAATGTTTTATTATTATAATCCATAAAAATAAAATTCAATAAAATAATATATATTTTATTTTAAAAAATGATTAACTTTATAAAGTGTGTATACTAAAATTCAGTTAATTATTGGATATTATTCGTTTATTAATATCCGTATTACATGTGTAATACTAACTCAATAAGTAAATTATTGATAAACAATAAAAATTATTGATTATGGTAATGTGTGCCTAACTATTTTTAATTATACATTTAAGTGAAATGCATGATTTTTGTATGATCACATTTTCAATAAAACCAATGTATTTTTATTTATCATCTCACACTAAAGTTAAAATAAAAACAAATAGGTTATTATAAAGTAAAAAATTTGTAATTTAATTGATACTCAATTTGTTTTTGTAAAAATAATTTATATATATATTATACAGGATATCTAATGCTGTTTTGACAGTCTTACGCAAACAAATTTGCAGATGGCTTTGTTAAATTAGCGTGAAACTCTTGTACATTATCTGTATTTTTAGGATTATTTTTTTATAAACAAAATTATAAAATAATTCAGAATCATTTACCTTGTTTTTGTAGTACACAGAAAATAGTCAAATCGTGGTACAGTTTTTTTGTGCGTACAATTTATTATTGTTCATATTCTTTTCCTCCTAACTATACTTTATTAATTATATGCACCAGGAGGTAAAAAAAATGCACACGAATTGTATATAACTAGGTAGAAAGTACAAAATATACACTTTTATAAATGCCAAAGATTAAAATGATATGTGGATTTTATGTTTTATGTATAATGAAATACAAATGTCAAACTTTGTACTTATCTTATAACAATGTCATTCTACTTAAATACCAATAGTTAAATAATTGTATATATTTAAGATACAGCGTAAACTATGATATTTCTATAAACAACGTCAAAATGCTCGTTAGGGTAAGCAAGTTCTGTCGTAAAAGTTTTAATAACTACAGCGGGCTTTTAGAGGTGTAATCCGCCTCTTACTTATAGTTAAAAATACTTGTACAACATATTACTTCCCTTTTAAGTACTTTATAAAAACTAATGATAAACATAAGTGGTAGGATAGCTTTTGAAATTAAGAATATTCTACAAAAAATGTTAACTGGTCGATAACCAGTTTTGGATAACTATTTTTGAAGTTATTAAAGTTTCAAGTTTAGGGCAGGAGGAAAGGTGCAGTGTAGTATTATTTTTATCTGCGCACACTTCCCAACCACACTTCCCCCCCCCCCGCTTTAACTTTTAAACTCTTATAACTTTAAAAAAATTATCCAAAACTAGTTGTCAACCTGTCAACATTTTTAGTGAAATATTCTTAATTTAAAAAGTTTAAAAAATATATACGTTACCTACCATTTAAGTTTCAAGAGTTGCTTTCAAAAAAACTAGTTTACGAGTGGGGTAGAAACTAGAAATATATTAATTTGTGGAAAATTGAGATCACATTATATAAAAAAAACTATGGAAAAAAAATTTAATTATTAATAAAACCCAGTGAGATATTGAGTGGCCCATGATAAAAAAAATCACCCTGTAGATGGAGATGACCTATGGGAAAAATGGGTGGAATAGTATACACATTGTCCAATTATAATAGAGGAGGAGCGAAGTTTCAAAATGTACTTTTTTTTGGATTTCTTATATCTAACCTCAGGATAGGTTGAGCCGCAACCAAGAGGTCGCAGGTGTTTTTATCCAGTCCCGCTCAGTTGATTTGGTAAGGTAATTTCAGAGTATTTCTCCGACTTTTTACATATATTTTACTGTATACATTCAATGTAATTATTTGTTAGTTTATAGTGGAATGTATATATTTCTTGTGTTGTCGTATCGATTATATAATTAAAAGTTTTAACAATTATTGTCCAACTGAGGCATCAGCACTTATGAAATACAAATATTTAAACTAACATTAATATTGGAGGTCCGGGGACAAGTTTTGTATTCATCTATAAAAGATAATATATTCTATGATGGATACTATAAAAGAACTAACAGTATTTAGCTTACATTATAGCTTTTGTTTTACACATACTCGTTTAAAATGCCAACTATAGAACCCTCTGATATATATTATTCATATACAGTCCCGGCGCTACAGCTGGTTAGCGTTTCAAATAGGTGTTTTATAAGGTACTAAAATGTGTGCCTTTAATTTATTTTCTTTAACATTTTTTAATATGTAAGTAAGTGACCTATATTCTCTACACTCTTGGCATATCCGTTATTGATTATTACACGTAGAACAAAATGTTTGAAAAGCGTATGTAAAAAAAAAAAAACAACAACGTATAACTATGTATACAGATATCTTCTTCTTTCTATACACGCTTTTGTGAGTACTTGAAAAATAATGAACATGACAAAAATAATATTTTATAACGATATCCTTTGATGGCTCAGATGTTTGAATTGTTTTATTTAAACTGATTTCTGGCACACTATAGATTCCATGAACACAATGATTATTATATTATGACTACTACAAAAATAATTATATTAATGGCACGGTTTTCTGTTCACAGGGAAACGTAATGCAGCAACTTCTATCGTTCCATTTCATATTGGAGTTGATCACTACGGTTCCGTTTATCTTTACCGTAAGCTTATTGAAAAACGAATGCAGGTTAATTTGATTGGTTTCATTTGATTTAAATTTTTTAGCTTTTCCAACCGACTTTGATTAATCTTTTCATACCGGTGTTTCTAAATTGTTGGCTAGCGAAAAAGTCCCTGGAAAACATGTTTGTCAGTAACACTTATATTATAACATATTTTTAACGTCAAATATATTATATTTATTAATATATATTTTTACTTTGCATTCCAGAATGATCTTCATCGCGCTATGCAAAAATCTCAATCAGCTCTTTCCCAGCAGTTGATGATTCTGTCGGCCACTCTCCTTTGTTTAGTGTTTACTAGGTCAGTCATTGTTACCTTACATATTAAAGCTCATATTTTATTTCTAACCGGAAACATATAAAATGTTTTATTATATTGTGTAATTTTCTTAGTGTATGTGGCATTCAACATTTCCAAAGAGCTGGACACCGTCACTTGAGTCTCTTTCAAGCAACCTACTATGTGGTTGTCACTTTTTCTACAGTTGGCTATGGAGACTTCGTGCCGGATATTTGGCCTTCTCAACTATACATGGTCGTTATGATCTGCATAGCACTTATTGTCCTTCCTACTCAAGTGAGTCTTAAAAAACGTAGAATAAAAGTAATATTAACAAAAATATTTTGTTTCCACTTCAGTTTGAACAGCTAGCGTTCACTTGGATGGAAAGACAAAAACTCGGCGGTTCTTATTCATCTCACAGAGCACATTCCGAAAAACATGTCGTCGTGTGTAGCACGACGCTCCAAGCCGACACCATAATGGATTTCCTCAATGAATTTTACGCACACCCTTTACTTCAAGTTAGTAGTGTCTAGTACAGTAACCGCATTTATTATATTGATTTGATCACCCACGAAACTTTTATATGTTTTTTTATACTTGAGCGATTGTAATAGTTAAACATCTGCTTAACTATTTGGCTGTTGATTCTGACACAATAGTATTTTTTTGATTCACGTTACATAATGTAAAATCTACAGACAAACTTGAAAACGCAATCACATATTGCGTTTACAATTTAATATGTTTAGCGGTTTAAAAGAAAATCATCATAGTACTATGTCTTTTGTGTAAACCACGTAGGACTATTTTGTGGTATTGCTTTCGCCAATGGAACTCGACACAACCATGCGGATGATACTTCAAGTGCCCATTTGGGCACAGAGAGTCATCTACATACAAGGGTCGTGCCTGAAGGACGGTGATCTATCCAGGGCCAGGATGAGCGACGCTAAAGCATGTTTTGTCCTGGCAGCTAGAAACTACGCGGACAAAGCCGCAGCGGTAACGTGGTGTTATATAATTTTTGTAATAAGACGAAAGGAGTGAAATAAGTATGATGCGTTTATTACTTAGGACGAACACACTATACTGCGGTCTTGGGCGGTAAAGGATTACGCCCCGACGGTACCTCAGTACGTGCAAATTTTCCGACCAGAAAATAAATTGCACGTAAAGTTTGCCGAATTTGTCGTTTGTGAGGACGAGCTCAAGTATGCGCTTCTGGCCAACAACTGCACTTGTCCAGGTGCATCGACTCTGGTCACATTGTTATTGCATACTAGCAGAGGCCAGTGAGTATTGGCTGCGATACTTCCGTAAAGTTAGCTACCAGACCCGTATAAAACTCATCGTATATGCCACGAGAGACACGGGTGTCTCTCATTTGAACTTTGAAGCACCGGTGACTCGTGTGGTACCTTGAAAATGTCGCAATGTGAGACACCCGTGTCTTTCATGGTACGTGAGAGAAGTTTTTTCCTAACAAGTCAAGTACACAAGTATAGCCTGTGTAAGCGATACCTGTGATCCTCATGGTAGCTAACGTGTTAAAGAAAGCAAACTTTGTTCGTAACCCTTTTTTGTTTTTTAATGACTTCCAGGGAAGGGCAGACATCTCCCGAAGAATGGCATCGGTTGTACGGCAGGTGCTCGGGAAACGAGATCTATCACATCCTACTGGGCGATAGTCGGTTTTTCGGCGAGTACGAAGGAAAGAGTTTCACCTACGCTAGCTTTCATTCGCACCGAAAGTAAGTGTCAGCGGACGTTAGTCGAGCCTTTTTTCAAAACCCTTTGTCTGCTCGCAGATTCGGCGTGTCCCTTGTTGGCGTTCGGCCGGCCGACCTGCCGGAGTTCTACGAGGACACGATACTGCTGAATCCCGGGCCGAGGCACATAATGAAGAAATCCGACATATGTTATTATATCAGTGTAAATAAAGAGGAGAATTCGTCGTTTGTCTTGTCCAACAGTGGGGCGATGCCGGCAAAACAGCTAGAAAGTGTAAATAGTAGTTGTGGTGAGTGTTGTTTTGGTCAAATCGGTAGAAGTCGGCTCTTTGCGTCGATGACCGTGCAAATTTCATTTTTAGATAAACCGACTGACGTTCAAAAAACAATTAAAGAAACGCACACGCCGCCAAGCAAACACTCGGACGAACCGATGGCCGTGGGCAATCATTTGAGTATTCCCAAACCCATAGACATGAATCCGAATTTATTAAGCCCCGAAATTTTAAATCAAAGAAGAGGTGCGCCGTGTAATGTTTATTCAAATGACTCCACGTTGACTTTCACTGTTCTAAATGTGATTATAGGCAGTCGCCGGCCGAGCATTTTACCGGTAGCCGAAACCATGACGGGTTCTTCGTTAAACATATCCGTACCTCATCCGGAAGACGGCGACGAGAGCGAAGACGAACTCGAAGACGAAGTACCTTGGAGATCTCCCAGCGAGAAGATAGCGTAAGGATTATGACATTTTATACCTGAAAATATATTATAATTAAAGATCTTGCCAAAAATGTAAAAAAAATTAATGTTTAACGATCAAACGCGTACTATGTACGTGTTACGGTTTTGTTTGGTTGTTTTATTATATTTATTGAGTAAGATAACAGTATTGTTGTTGGAGCGTGCTGTGTACTTTTTTTTTTAACGCTTTCATAGAATTTGAATAAAGTTGTACATGACCTTGATTTACATAGGCCTAGATTTAGGTGTATTACACACTCGCAGCTTCTAACACACGAAACAAACTAGTTAAGTGTATTGCGGTTACATAATATGAAAAGTTCTAAAGTTCTACAGTTTAATCTCCTTAGTTTGAAATAATGTCTTTGTGCGAGTATTATAAGGTTTTGGCAAAATTATTCCTATTATTTAGTATGATACATTTACATAATATTATTAAAGAAAAACGCTATAAGCAATTTCGAAGTACACTAAGCCATAAGTCATTTTTAATGTTACCAATAGATTTCACTTTAAAATACATTAAAAACAATGTCGTAAATAATTAAAAAAATTAATTAAAATGTATTAATTTTTAGTAAGACAGATTGTTTATTTATGATGATTTTTCCATTACTATTCTGTGGCCAGTGGCATAGAATTAATTAAATATTACGTTTTTATGAAACGTATACAATAATCAACGTATTAGCCTATTTATATCAAACAATATGTTACAAATTATATTATGTTGAAATATTTACAGAAATGCTATCTATAAACAAAATACACAGTTTAACAATTTTCTCACATAAACAACTTGTAAGGAGTATACGTGTTTGAACACTCATAAAGTATTTGTAACAAATACTTGATGTTATACCGTAATTTTTTTATTACACTCGACCCTCCTCTAAAAAAAATTATATATATATATAAAATGTCTATGCATGCAATATACTATTATCTGTTTTATATAATACCTAATTATCATATTTCATTAAAGTACAAAATGCGTGTTCAAAAGATAAAAAAAAAAAATCTGTCAGTGTCTTTTAACACTGAACATGTAACAAAGTTATTTCGAAACTGAAATTTAACATAGTATACATACTTTTTTTTTAATATTGTTTTTATAATAAAAACATTTAATCACATTGAAATGCATTAGATTTGATAATTTCGTCAATAAAAAAAAAAAATGGCGAAACTGCATGTTGATTTCTTTGTTTTTGCATGTTTGTTGTATACTTAGATTCCGCTTTACAGCGGGCGGCAAAGAAGACATTTATGTCCAGCCTGTTTGGCATGCTGAATGGAACAGGCAAGTGTTTAGTGTTGTGTTTCTTCGCATTTAATTGATAGTCTTCTGTGTTTTAATTGAAAAACATTTATATTTAATTAAATATTTTAATTTTTGAAACCAAATAGAATTGTCAAAGGATTTCCGCCAGTATCTCCTTACATTGGTGTCAGCCCAACACTTTGTTATCTTTTGAAGGAGAAAAAACCGTTATGTTGCTTACAGTTAGCTCAAGTGAGTGCAAAAATCGTTATCAACTGAGTATAAAACTTTACAGCATTTTAATATTTTCATTTTTCATTTCTTACAATTGAATAATGCATAAAATAAAGCATTACCTATAATATAAATAACAATGTAATTTAGTAGCAAGTAGAAAACGTGGTTATTATGTTAAGAGGGCGTCGCACCGGTGATTTTCAGTGGTAAAAACATATTTAAGCAGACTGAAAATAACTCGCTTAGTTTTGGTTTTAGAGTAAAAGCACCCATTATAAAATTAAAATAAAACAATATTCCGGAGGGCAAGACGGTGCATTTTTTTTCATTATTCCAATAATTAACTACCAAAATAGAGTGCTAGTTATTGAACTAATAATTACACATCACAGTTTAACCATTAAATTAAGATTTTGTGAAAAATTGCCTATACTTAACTCCTAAAAAAAAGGCGGTGCGACGCCCTCTTAATAAAAATAGATATTTTTAGGAGGATTTATATTTTTCATCGATTTAAATTTTTAAAAAACGTTAATTAAATTTCATAATTTATTTCTATTAAAAATTCATGTTGAAATGCTGTCTATAATAAATATTTTGACTCCATAAATCCAACCGATATGGTTGTACAATACAAATTTTACGGTGTATAAAACGAGCAGCAATAATAATTAATTATTATTGATTCTGTTATTAAGCGAACTAATAAATGTATTTAAGTATTTTGTTATTTTATTTTGTTTTGTTTATTCATTAAATTGTAATTCCAAATCGTGTAACAGGTATGCGAACACTGTTCGTATAGAAATGCTACCGATTACAATTGGCAAAACAAAACCATCATACTTGCGGCTGATTATGCGTCAAACGGTATTTACAATTTCATAATACCGTTGAGGGCGCACTTCCATCCGAAAACTTCTTTGAACCCGATCATTATTTTGTTGGAACGTCGGCCTGATATTGCATTTTTAGACGCCATATCATACTTCCCTCTTGTCTATTGGATGCTTGGTTCCATCGACTGGTAAACACTTAAAAATAGATTATTAATTATTATTCAATAAATCATACCTTAATCTCACAAAACATTAACTCGTATGGCAATGTATTTACACTTTAATGGAGTCACAAACAGATTATATATTTTTTTACCTACAATATTAAGGTACAATAGTTAGGTACTATTGTATTATTGTACTATTGACTATTGTATTAAGGTACGATAGTTTATTTTTTTAGTTTTATATTACCTAATTTTTTTACTTAATTTGTAATTTATTGTAAGTTCTGCTCTATGTTAATCGTATGTTACCCGTGATCCCAGTTTACTGTTGCCTAACACGATATAAATAAATAGGACAAAATTAAATCGATTGAGATTATTTGGTCACGTTAAAAAAAAAGGGAGACAAATGAAATAGTAAAACATGTTAAATGAGAGTGGAGGATAAAGGTAAACTAAAGAATAAAATTAAGAATAAAAATGTTTAGATGTGTGTAATACACAGAAACACATAAACTTAAAGAAAACGGTTAAAGAAGCGTGATTAGCCAGAGGATATTGTATCATTTTAATGTTGATAATATTGTTTATGCTTGAAAACTAACACATATTATAAATAATATATAGTTTGGATGATCTCTTGCGAGCTGGTATTTTATTGGCAGAAAATGTAGTTGTGGTGAACAAGGAATTATCGAATTCCGCTGAAGAAGAAACTTTGGCCGACTGTAATACAATTGTTGCCGTTCAAACCATGTTCAAGTAAGTGCAACATATTATACTCTTCAATTACATTCCAATCGGCAAAATTAACCTACATCTCCTAAGCGTTTCTCAATTATTATTACTATTAGATTAGATTAAGACTTGAGTAAGAAATAGCTAATTAGGTATGAGTCGCATCAGTTAGACTAAGTAATTTGAACAATACCAGTTCTCTTGCATTTCACTGATGTCACGTATATTTCGCGGTTTTTTAATGTATTTTTTTGTTTTTCATTATTGAACACAGATTTTTCCCCAACATACGTAGCATAACTGAATTATCGCAATCGTCCAACATGCGATTCATGCAATTCAGAGCACAAGACACGTACGCGTTACACCTGTCTAAAATGGAGAAAGTGAGTTGTTCATTAATAAAATATACGTTGTACCTATTGTAAATAATTGCTATTTTATTCCAAATGTATGTATGTTCTTTACACGAAATAAGAATGATTATAAATATAACAATATGACTGTAACCCAAACCTGATTTTCATTATTAATATTATAACAGTTATATTAAAGCTCACATATATCGTTTCTATTACGTTTTATTCTTTAGCACGAAAAGGAACGAGGATCACACATATCATACATGTTCCGGTTGCCGTTCGCCGCAGGTTCTGTGTTTAGTGCCAGCATGTTGGACACTCTGTTGTACCAAGCATTCGTCAAAGACTATGTCATTACTTTTGTTCGATTGTTATTGGGCGTCGACCAAGCTCCTGGTTCAGGATTTTTAACTTCGGTAAAGCCAACACTCAATAGACTTGAGATGCGTTAAAGATATTTTATAAAATGCCAAGTGCTAACGTTCGGGATTTCGTATTTCCAGATGAAAATTACTAAAGACGATATGTGGATAAGGACGTACGGCCGTCTTTATCAGAAACTATGCTCGACCACTTGCGAGATACCTCTAGGAATTTACAGGACTCAAGACTTGTCTAACATCGACTCTCCTCCGGTAAGCAAACTACCACCGAGTGATTAAAACAATAAGTCGTAGATACGAGTATATATTTTTGGTATTATTTTTTTTTTTATTTGTTTTTTTTTTTTGTGATTTCTCTTCATTAAACCCCTCTTGTGTATACGTGCTGTCTAGTTCATGTTACCCCTATCATAGAATGGAGATACCAGTATTAGACTATCGATTTTCTAATCACCCATATTTATTCTTCTGTCACTTTCAGGATGCATGTGGTACAGACTGCGATAAAACCTCTGAGGTATGCTACTACTAACGTTAACATTAAGTACTGACTAATATATTGCTTGTATAAATACACTTGGTTCTGATCTTATTATAAAACCGGCTTGTGTACAAATTAGGGATCAGATCACGAAGCTTACATGCCTATACCGACTAACTGCCTACCTAATTGCCACAGGAATCAAAATTCCGTTGTGAGTATTTACATAATCATACTTCCAACATGTTCCATCACTATGCATGATATTTCAACATTTTAAATACATCTATTATTTTATATTTTACAACGTAACTAACTTTATTATCTGCATTGCTATATTATATCAAATATTGTTAAATATTACAAAACTATTAACCGATTTGTAGCTAGGCGCACATAAAAACAAAGAGTATAATAGAGGTTTTTAGTAAGAAAAATTCGCTTTGTTTTATCCCAAACGCAAACGAACAATTTATATCAAATATGCATGCAATTCTAGGTCTGAGACAAAACGTATCAAATCATTACAAAAGTCCATTTATATAAAAAAATAAAATATATTTAATATAAAACATTAAAAATATGTATTTGATAGAAAATGACAGTTTTCTAAGATTCAAGTAAAAGTAATTAGACTAAGTCTTGAGCTATCTAATATTTCTTAACGGCATTTCTAAATTTTTTTTAGTTAAATTTTATATATTTCTATCACTTTTACCTTTATGAAGAATCTAGTCACTATTTTCAAGGAAATCATTTCCTTTTTCTTCCTTAAAATTAAAATAAAGCTTTAGGAAAATTAGAATTTTACTTGTTATGTTTTTAATAAATTATTCAAGTTTAAAAAAAAAAAATGCTAAATTATCCAAATTTGTCGACAGTTTTTATTTTTGCAATTAGGATACATGAACCTCAATTTCGCTTTGAGTAATTTATGGCTTAATAAGTGTTGACTAAAATATAGTCTAATTATCTTATCTCTATCATGTTTTATGTTTTCGCTTACCAGCTGTTGTTACTACAAGTTTGTTTAGCTTACATATAAAAATATTTTAATACATTTTATTAAATATTATATATATATGTGTTCTCATTTTGATAAAAAAAAAGTAATTATTATAACTTTATTCTCAAATGTATATCAATATTTAAAAAATAAATGAAACCCCTAAAAAAATAATATAAAAAAACTTGATAGCTTTTTGAAATACGATGATAACTATTATCTCACACCGCTGGAGATATTTAAAATAATTAAACAGCGTTTAAAAATAGTGGAGCAATTGAACTTTTGCGAAAATAAAGGTTTCTTAATGTGCGCCAGCTTTTTAAAAACAAATTCTTAAGAAGTTTTTTTTAATTACCGTGGTTCTTTAGTTTTCAATTAATATGAACGACGACGCACGTGACAACCATGATAATCTAATTGAACGTGCCGAGATTGTGAATCTAGTCCGGTCCCGAATGGACAGCCTGAACTTACCATCGGTCGATCACGAAGACGTCAGCGAGAAACGGAGCAGCCTGTCGTACGTTATCATCAATCCGAGCTGTGATCTAAAGCTCGAAGAGGGTGATATCATGTGAGTGTACACGAATGAAATTGCTTACATTTGTGTCGGCTACTGAGCGTCTTGGACGTTTTGGAATTAATTTGCCTCGGTTTCGCAGATACATACTCAGGCCTAGTCCGTTCTCGGCACAAAAGACCTTCGAGAGGCACAACAGCCGTCGCAAGTCCAACATAAGCTTTAGCTCGCAAACCGGACAGATTGGGTTCGGATCCAGAAGGGGCTCCACCCTGGCGTTCCCTCCGTTCATGTCAAGACCACCCCCGCTAGTGACCACCAAATCCAACAGCTTGTCTCTGCCCGACAGCCCTACCGTGGGCAGCGCCCTTCGAGCCCGGTCCAACTCGCTGCGCGTGGTCGACGACATACTGATGAGACGATCCAACTCACTGAGGCAAGGACTGTCCATGTGCAACCGGAAGAGCAGCCTCGAAGAGTTGGGAGTGTCGCACTTTGCGTTAGGATCGAGTGCACACGAACGTAGACCCAGCATGCAAGTAAGCCTAAGTGCTCGATCGATGAGACACGTCGTCACTACGCGAAGGCAGTCTGAGGTAACCTTGTAGTTATTTCAGCTAGCCTTGATGGTTGTCCTTTTGTGTCTGAATCACGCCGCCATAGAGTTGATTTTATGTTTGCACTACATAACGTCGATTTATATCATTAACAATATACCTAATTTCATTAGAACCTACACTTTTAATTGTTATAACTTATAACAATTGAATGCATATACCATACAACTATATAGTCTTGTTCGTCGAAAAGTAATTTTAGAAGTTTGTAAGTCTTAAAATCGTTACTAGACTAATTTAAATAAATTTGTTTATTATTTTGAAATTACATGTCCTATTAACTGCATGATAATCGATACGAATTGTTATCCTAATAGCTATATAACCTACCTTGATGTACTTATTGTTTTTCCATGTTTTATGAAAATTTAGGACACGTGTTTAGAAACGGTGTGTAATTTCATAGCTGTCTATTCTTCGAGTTTTTTTAACCGAGTTCTTAGCCGCTGTTTATTAAAAGTTATAATCGCTTATCGTTGGTAGGATCTCCGAACCCGGGCAAGTCGTTGATAAAGTCTTTCATATGTGCTTGTGATGAGTTATCTCACAGCCGCTAATACCGCTGGGTCTGTTTTTGTTATTTCGTATTTTCTTTACAGCTTGGTATTCCAGCAATCAGTCTGTATGAACACGGAAAAGCTGTGAATTACACAAAGAAAAGCATACCGCAAAATAAGGGTATCGAATAAATTATTTTAAGCACTACGAAATATTCATGATATAAAACTAGTCACTCGGCTTCATAATTTTTTCTATTTAAGTATGGTGATCATGTTCAGGACAAACAAGTTTTACAGGCTGTTGTTCTTAATCTAACCGGGAAAATGCGATAATTCATTTTTTTATAAATATACATATTCATCATGGTCTATAGTTAAATAAACACCATGCAATTCTCAAACAAGTTCCTAATTATATTGTATAACAATTGATAACGGAGCGGTATGAATTTTTTCAAATTATAGACATGTTTTAACTACACACCCATTAAATACTTAAGCGGCTCTCTAGGTTAATATTATATAGGTATTGTAGGGTGTTCCGTAAGATATAGCAGTAATAGCACGGTGTTTCGTGCTTCTTTAAGAAAGTTACCAATAGAAATCGATGCATACGTGCAGTGATCATACAGGCGATGTTAGGATTCAGGCAAACTTCTGTTTAATATTTATGGTGAATTCATAATAAAAAAAAAACTTTTTCAGCCGAGTCTGCAACCACGAAAGAGCATTCTCATGTCTCGTTGAAGTACCGAATAAATTTAAAGTAGTGGTGGAATTATAGATAGTGAAATAGTACATATATTAACAAGCAGCAACAAGCTAGTATCTAAGGTGGCTAGTAAACATATCAAGTTTCTGGCTAATATTTTAGTGTTTTCATAATATCTGGCCTGAAACAATTCATAGATAATTTGGCCCTTGAAACTATTCTGAATTTATTATTTAGTTCTAGTTTGATCGTTGTAAATACAACACATAATTTAAAATAACAGCGTAACGCTTTTTCGGTAACATTTTTTTCGGTTATGTGCCAGAGCTAACTAACCTCCAGAAACGAACATAAGAATGCAGCGTTAAGCGGGTCTACAACTTATTAAATCAATTATTTAAAAATTAAAATTAAAACAAATCGAAAAACATAATTTTTAATCGTTTTTACAACCCACAGCTAAATCGTAATAAACAATGTATTAAAATTATTATGTTATTTGTTTACTTTACACATTTAAATACTTACACCGTACTTAAACATTATAAATAGAAAAAGTTTTTTTTTGCTTAACTGCATTTTTTTTTTTTAGTCATACAAAATACTTAAAAATAATTCTGTGTCCCATAATATTTTTTAATCATACAATTAGGCTGCCTTGCAAACTTTTATATTTTAACCAAAAAAATTGGCAACAATTTCTTAAATATTGAAAATAAATTAAATATTAAAGGTATCATTGAATTGAGAGATAAAATTCTATACCAAAATAATATGTCACATGCTATAAGTTGGTTTTATTCAAATACCGCCCACTTGGTGGCCATCCTGTTAGACGTATTTTCGACCAAATCTTAAAAATCGTGTTATATATATATGTATATATATGTGCTATATATATATATATATATATATCATTTTAAGAATATTTTCTCTCATGATTTTAAATTATAATTGTTTAGCCTTTTTATTTGGCCATTATTAAATGATATACAAACAACATTATTTTGTGTACAAACTCTATTTTTAATAACTTGAGATTAAAAAATAAGCTATATCGTACACCCAAGATTTCCTGAATTCTGATTTGACGCTACAGGACATCTGGGGTATACCTAATAATAAATAACCGTATTAGTAAATCCATAAACCAAAAAAAAAAAACTTGTAAAGCTAGAATTAAGGAAAGTCAAGTCAATCGAATTCACCAACAATTTAGAAGTTACAAAAAGTATGAAATGCAACAAAACCTGACTTAGCGGCGCAGTGGTTAGCCATATGATTACTTTCTTAATGCTGAAAATTACCCTCGAGGACATACAATGTCAGCTCAATTCAGTAGTACACCAAAAACGGTGATTTTACCTTTCGAAAAGAACACGCTCATACACAATCGATAAATTTTGCAAAACAAACATGTTGTGTATTGCATAAAAAATTGAAAATAAGTTAGTCACTCACGATAGCTTTGATGGGTTCCTATCTAAAAACGTTGCAACTAACAATTTAGACGAAGAGGGGTTTTCAACTTAAAAGCAAACGTAACAAAAGTTATACAGAAAAAATGATATAGAACACAACGCAAATATGAAATGTACGAGAGACATATAGGTAAACCCGAAAAAAACACCAGAGAAATTTTTTTACGTTTCCTTAGAGTTGTTACTTACAACATATTAAGAGGGACCCATTCGATTATTTTAACAATCATGTGTTATTGTATATTGCATACTTGTTGATAGTCATTCGTCCGTTATATTAGTCGTTTAATTTTTACCATTTTATATATACCTAAATAAATTGCTGTATAATATATTATATTATATAATAATATAATATTAATTAATTTAATGTAAAATAATGTATAATAGTTAGTAGCGGAACAAGGGTCCGAAGACGGGTCGGACAAGAAAAGATACTGTTAATAATGTCATTAGTTATTCGATTTGTTGTTTTTGAATTAAATAATTTATATTTAATTTTAATTTCAATTGAAATATTTGAATTATAAGGTGTTTATGTAATAAGTAATTAAAAAAAGAAAAATCCATTTACATATTTACAAATTATTCCCCTATGGGTTATATGATAAATTACATGATCCTATGAGCTCAGCACCTTGAAGAACCCCGGCTTCTACCCTACGATAAGTCTGCTACTGATGATGTAGTATGTCTAAGGTGCTATACGACTTCCAGGTGTAGACCAACAGTAGGTACTTACTGTCCAAAAAACCGTTCTGACACGTACCTTGTACAAATTAAGCACATGTTTTTATAATTACTATATATATATATACCTAATACGTAATGCATATTATTTTTAGCTAGTTTGTGTTGTAGTTTTATATATTGTTTATCGTTTATGTTTTCTTTTTTTTCTATTGTAGCTTCATCCGAGCGAGATGTCCGGAAGCGCCATAAAGATAGCGCTCAACGGTAGCATAGGACTGGAAGTGACGCCACCGGAAGAAGTATCATCCCCTGGTTTGTCTAGCAATACCAGCGTGGTGACCGGAGGCCCTTCTTCGTTGCCAGCACAGCAACAGCTGCAGTCCGTGCCGTCGGTACACCATCAACCGGCATCGCCGTCACCGGTGCTGTCTCCTCATTCATCTCAGGAACATCTGCAGGGTACGATTGTATGATATAACCTGATGTGGGGTAAACGGAAGAGCAACAACGCGCGTAACAAATGGTTGTAAGCCGTTGCGCGTTCTCTTTACTGTTCGTTTGCTTCCACATCGTATCGCTGTCTCTCGCTTTGTCTCGTTTACTTCTTATTTATAGTACATACACAAACTACTACGTGTAAAAATAAACTGACACTATATCCAGTTGAAACAAATTATCATTATTACTGACGGTAATCCTCTCGAATTTGGCGGTACCTATTTGAATAAATCAGAATTTTAATCATCAACTGTTCACCGTTATTCTTTCTTGTTTTTCGTTAATTTGGCTTGTACGAGAAAGAGTAGCGGTCCTAATAAAAAAACATGTAACACGCAACATATTTTGCTTATGTGCCAAAAGAAAAAAAAAACTACATTACTATTTTAATTATATTTATTCATTTTTTTCTCTAGAAAACCTATTAATATAAGTCTTACGAATTATCTAGTACGTTATACTGTTATTAGGACTAAAGGGTAGAAGGGGGTGGTACACGACGATTTGACGTGTTATGTCAACAAACAGGGTTCTTTTTTAAAAAAAAAAAAGGACGTTCGATATCATTTCAGTTATCTGTATTGTTATATACGGCTATCATTGAATTTAATGACATTGAAACGACAATAAGCCAAAAGAAAATTTAAAAAATAATAGTAAATTTCGTTTAAAAAATGTAGGATTTCTATTGAGAAATAGTATGTAATAATTAAATGGTCGCCACACGTGCCATATTTTTTCGATTACTAAGGGGTTTGGTATAGGCGTTTAATTAAAAAAAGACTATTAAAGTGTCTATTTACACAGCTTTCTACTGATATTCTTTATTATTATTTTTGGACAAAAATATTCGGCATATGTCAGAAACTTTTTTTGTTACAATTATTTATTATTGAAGTACTTAAAAACAAAGAAAACTAAATCTCAAAAACGAATAAAAATTAAGCTTTTAAGGATACAAAACGAAACCATGAGAAAAATATTGTTTTCTAAATGTTTTAATAAATGACAAAACTTAACAATTGCTACAAAAAAATAAGACAGCTTGTAATTTACTCCTAAAATTAGAAAGGCGTGGCACTGTGGCGTCCACTAAATAAAATTATGTAATGATAGTTTTTAATTATTTTGTTTCAGGCGTTTAAACGAATTAATCGAATAAACAACAAAATAATGATAATATTTTTTTTTCAAACATCAATTGTAAAAAACCAAAATAATATTCAAACATTAAATTTTAAAAAAATATTCGAAATTAACTAAATAATACATGCATTGACTATATATAACGATCCTATAACGTCTTATATTCGTGATAAGCCAAATAATTTAAGATAAAATTATCACGTCCTCTTATTAAAATTTTGTACAGTTAATTATAGTATGGCTAGTGATTTTGATTTTCCGAGCAATTTAAATAATGTTTAATAGCATAAATATTATAATAGCCTATACCGTAGATACATATATTGTCTCTGTTCAGTTCAACGCAAAACAAGCTATTTATTTGTGCTAAATACCTTCACTATTGGTTGTAAATAATTATAATACAAGTGATGGTAATCTACAAGTGAAGTGGTAATTATCAAATTGTCAAAAAAAAGAAAATAAATACTAACATAACCTTATAATTTGTCATTTAACTCAACACATTTTAAGTACGAAGTACTATTAATTAGTATCGATATAGGATTACTGTGTAGGTAGCTTGTGTATCTGGATAATAGCATACAGTACATATTATTTGAAAATGTCTATAGATATCCACGATTGTTTTATAAAACTACACATGATAACCTCCATTACTGGTTTACTATTGTTTTAATAATAACTTCTGGTAATAAAAATGACTTTAAACTCATGACTTATAATTTAATGTGTTTATTAGTGAAAAAAATTATAGTTTTGTCAGACTATTATTTTTCTGTGTTACTCTTTATAGTTATGTTTTGATACCATTAATAATTTTTTTAGAAAAAAATATGTACCTATTTTCTTATTAACGCGCTTTAAAATAGTAGTACTTAATATAGATATTATATATATTGTTACTACATATAATGAAATATTATCAATAATTAATTCATGTATAGTAATATTATTGTGTATTAAATATTATAATTTCGTTGACGCCTCAAAAAACTCTATAATAAGTAATCTAATATAGTGATAATAAATTGTAAAGTAATAATTATCTTTTGTAAACGTGCACGTTCTTTTGCCGTATAAATGAACACAAGGGGTATGGGACCATTCTTTTAAGCGTACGGTATGAATTTCCAAAAGAATTGTTTCAAAAATGTCAATTGGTATCGTGCATTTATTGTAACAAGCCTGTATGCGAAGACTTAAAACGATTAAAACTTAGTGGTTCGTTTTAGTTATCGATCCGTCGCGTCGTTCAAAATCCGTATACAATTATTTAGTTCCTATGTATAAACTATTATGATGTGTATAGATGTACTATGATAATGTTTTGTATAATGGGATGTTATTAAATAATTTAATATGTACGTTAAGATCAAACCAATGTTGTGTTAACAACTTTGTAAGATAAGAATAAATTATATAGTGTTATTTTCTTAAAATTAACTCAATAGCTGTTAATCATAGTTTATAATATCATATTAATATTTATTTAGTATTAATAATATTATACGTTACACCCTTAATATAATATATATATATATTATACTGTTTTTTTTTGTTTTTTATACAGCTTAGCCTTTCAATAGATAGTAGCCTAGTCAAATACGAGATCCCTAAAATAGGTTAAGGTGGGATCTGCAATTATTGCAGATCCCAACCTTAACTCTAGTACTTCTTTACCAACTATTTTTATGGTTGGAAATTTCAACTTTTTACTAAAAAAATTCTAACTAGAAAACTTTTCGATTTGAAAAAAAGTTTATAAAGCTATCTGATATTTGAAAACATTTCCTTTGATATCCCGTGATACAATTGTTTCTAGCAAGTTTTTTAGTTTTCAGTTTCAATGGTCTGTAACTTAATAAAAAATAAAAATTTTATCGTAAAATTTTAAAAAGTTATTTTTGAATGTCATATTTTAGCTTTAAGAATCTATTTTGCTATTGTAAAAAATTTGATAAGTTTTCAAGTAAGAATTTAATACAAGTTTTAATTTTCCATGTTAATCAAATGCAAAAAAACTTTCATGAGGAAGTATTTAGAGTTAAGCTAAGAATCTAAAATTTTAGTAATGTCTTATTTGAATAGGCCACTATCGACTAGGGGGATAAGTAAAAAAAAAAAATTAACACAATATAATAGGTATATATTATAAGTATGGTTCTAATTTTGGGTTTAGTAGAATTTCAATTTGGACACCCCCTTTAATTTTTTTTTAATAAAATAAAAAAGCTACAGTTTTAAATCTTATTTTTGATATCAACACGTGCCACATGAAATTTACCTAATAAACATTGGCTTTCGTATTGTATAAGATATATGTATTACACCCTAGACGTGAATTGCAATTTTTTTTTTTATTATGTTTTATTTTAACCTGTCTTGTTCAATGAAATATCAGTGATATTTGATAAAGCATAATAGAAAAAAGTAATAAAAAATAAATCTTAAAAAAAATATTCTATAATTTGGTTTTTAATAACTCTCACACATTCGACATCTAGATAAAGTATTTATTCTTTTATTTTGCTTAGGGACAACTTGAAACAAAGACATTAAAATTGTGTTTATTTTAAAAGTAAGATCAATATCTATTTGTTTAATATTGTATTATAGTTATTTTTCGAACATGTGCCCAATTTATGAAATAAGCAAAACAATGTCCCTCTCATGAAATGGGAATTTTCACGTCTGAGGTGTATATATAACGATAATTTAAAATGGTGTGATGTATAATATTATTTTGTGATGTAGTTATGATTTTGTCATTATTCAACTGTGGTAACAAATGTTTAAAACAAATAATTAATGATAATATAACACAATATGGAGAATTTACGTAAATCCCTATCCCGTATCTTTTTTATGAAAACAACTCGAAAGCCTTATTAGTATATTGTACTGTAATTATGAACAACATGTTACCTTCATTGTAATGTATAATAAAATGTAATTAATAAAATCAATTTCGAATAATCAGCTGCGTCTGCTTTGTTTCGGATCATTCTAAAATTATAAAAACATTATATAACAATAATTGTGTATAATATAATTATACCAATTGCAAAATGAATGAGCTTATAAAATTGTTCAGACTTGACCTGTTACCTTTCAGTCGGGGGATTAACATTCTTCATAAACTGGCCTATTATATTTCCTGGTGGGTCGTATAAGCACACGAGAAACACACCGCCGTTTTCACTCTTTGCTGCTCCTGCTCCCAACTCTTTAGTATCTTTCCAAATCAACTGAGTGAACTCATCTAAATACCCGAAAACGCTGATTTATAATTGTTAAAATTAAAACGTTATTCATATTATAATTTATAAAACATAATTAAACTGCTTATGATACATGGTTTTGGCAATTGGCTAAATTTCGGTTTGCTTTGGTAACTTATTATAATATTCTTGCCAAACACATATTAAAGGTGGCCATTACATAAACATTTCATTAGATGGACTGACATCACTTTTATTTGGGATTAAATAATTTATTTGTGACATATTGAAACTTAAATATATCTAACAAAAAATAAAATAATAAAACGTTTGTACCTAATCTACATATTTATTTTTAATAATTAGAGTTCAGAACAAAAAAAAATGTTGAATACAAAATACTAGGATTGTGAAGAATTTCCTTACTTTGCAAGCTATAGATTTAGGAATAAACACTGCAATTGTAGAAAAATATAAAACCTAAGCAAATAGCATACATCATAATGTTTATTATATCTGATACATCGAGTTAGGAGTATAATAACGTTCTGAACTAATAGACCGTTTAAATAAAAACAATATTTTAGGTATTTAAAGTACTGAGCTGCAGGCACAATGAGAAAACAATTTGGTCGCACTATATGGGAATATAGTGAGGCATATTATCGTGTTATAGTTAAAGATTAGAAGTATGATAAATTTGATGTTAAAAATTCATATTTCTCGATTTTTTTCGTTTTGAAAAAACACCAACCGGAAATATTTTCTGATATATTGATCATTGTCGATATAAAACATCTTTTCAATTTAGGTTCCAGTAAAAAACTTATAATTAGCTACAATTTTGATAAAATAATATATTTCATACGATTCATTGATATTTTATCAATCACCACTAGCTTTTTTGCATTGATGCCGGGCTGAGGAAGAATGGGTTTTTACAATTGTGTGTTTTTACACAATTTGTTCGTGTGAGTGTAGTCAAAAGTAGAAAATGAAAAAAGCAAGTCAACATATTTTTTTATCTTACGGGCTCTGGAAGCTGCCGACATAACTCCTTCTTCCCAGTTAAAATCAAAATACTCAATTCCTTCGTACCACTCTTCTACTGCGACAAAACTGAGGTCATGTATGCCTTCTAATGATCGAAAATAAAGAACATTTTCGCCATATGTATAGTTAGGCACGTGATGATATATTGTGTTTTCATTAGCCAAACTATCCGCCCTACGTTTACTATATTCGTTGAGCTATGATAATTCAAAAACAAATTATAAACATTGTTTAAAATATGCATTATGAAATATTTAATCAAGCGATCATTAATAGAGTTGTTATACTCGTACTCTTTGAAGGGAAATAAATGTCGCCAATAAAAAAACCCTTAAAGGACAATCTAAAAATTATCAAATCAGCAAAATTATTGGATAAAAAAAATATATGGCATACAACTATACAAGTGAGAAATCAAAATAATAAGTGACCGCATGCTCTAATATTTAGTCAACTATTTTATGTGATCATTACTTTTCTTCTATAACCACCATTGCTAAAGTTCCATAACAAAAAATGGTGAATATACTAAGTGCCGAAATTTCAAGTTGAAACTGGACATTTTTTGAGTATTTTTCTTAATTTTGAAAGGAGAACTTTTTTTACATCAGACCCATCAAAGTACAAATCGCATACAATTACGGATCGATAGAGTTGCTACTCGTTGAAATATCATTGTGTTGATCTTTCAAAAGTTTACCCCTTACAAAAAGATAGTTTAACATTATTACAAATTACTAGTATTTTAATTTAAAAAAAACTTTATTTAATACTATATTATTACTTTAAAGTGCTATGTAAGATGTACATACGACGTAATATTAAATTATTATACATACACACTACCCCCATCAGACTTTTTCGATTATCTAAATTTTTAAACGTAAATAAATCAAAAAGTTGTTGTTTAAAATGGCTATCAAAAAGTAATTATTTTTAGAAGGCTTTTGTTAATATTATAGGTATTTAAAATAGACAGGCAACTAAAAAGTACCCAAGATTAAAAATTTAGTTTTTTAACTATTATCAGAGAAATGTAACTGTGTTTTACGTTGAATTGATTACCCTGTATAGCTAATTAAAACAATATATTTATGCCGGTTTCGTACACATTGTGGTTAGGTTTGAGGTTTATGTTTGAGGTTTTTCAAAATTTAACCATAAACATAAAAAATTAAACATAAGATTATGTGCCTACCCTGCCTTTCTCAAGCGCACGTCACTGAATTCAAAATATGGAACGCGTATTCAGAGCATAGACTTATAAAGAAATGGACTGATATTAGAGAGAGAAAGAGAGAGAGGTCCGAGGGTCGATATCGTTAAAAAGAGATAGAAAGATTTGTTAGGTATCTCATGAAAAAAAATTATATCTTGGAAAAATATTAATATGATAAAACCTAATAACGAAATTTGTACACAAAATAGTTTAATTCATTTTTATTTAAATATCGAAATTTAATTTTTTTCATAATGGTGCAATAATGCGTAATTTTTTATTGCAAAATATAAGTATGCGAACATAAAACCCTGGTTGCAACTTTTAAATGCCCTTATGGTTAATAACTATTGTGGTTAGAGCTTATAACAGGAATACAATTTTTTAATTTAGATGTAGATCTGGGAGGGATGAAAATTCTCAGACATACCTAATAACTTATTAACATTTTACGATAGTAAACGTAAAATATAGTACGTTGTCGAATTCTATTCGAATTTAGTACTTAAAAATACGGTTTGTATTGAAATTATACTCAAACCAGTTTTATTATTGAAAAATTTACAAAAAAAAAGCTAAAAGTATGTAAAACAATATTTACAATATTATATTATAATGATAATTTACCAACAGTAAGCTGTTAGCTCTTACGACAGGCATGGACTACCGCGGCTGTCCCCCACCCACAGGGAAACCTTAAAAATTAATAAATTAAAAATTATTTTTATAAACGTTCACTACGAAATAAATTCATACCTTTTCACTTAATACTAATGGCGGTACTTCGTGTATTTGTCTATAAAAGTTGTGCCTTATCAAAGCGGCCGCTGCACAGCCTTTGGTAGCATCGTTCTGCAAGTCATGTTAATAATGAGTTTATCATTTATATAGTTGACTTTAATAGCATTTGCTTACACTTTGTTGCGTATCATACACCTCTTCTTCGTTTTCAACATACAAATTAAATTGTTCTATATTTGTTTTATTTTTAACAGCAAATCTATGAAGCTTTCCTCGAAAAATGTCATTTAGGCCAATTACTACAGCAAATTGTACACCTAAAAGAAAAATTGCTATGGATTTATTCATATGTCTTCTTTAAATCGTTCTTTAACTTAGGATGTTGTTTGATATTTTCGACGAAACCTACCACAGAAAAACAACTAAATAGTATTACATTTTGATAATGAAAACTAGATATTAGAATATTTACATTTACAACAAATATAATCACTGTAGAAACAAAATACCATCATTGCTGGTTTAGCATTTCAAGAATTTAACTTTATGAGTTTATTTAATACGGTTCTAATAATAAGAAACATATCTGTTAGTGCATTTAAAAAAGTAAGATGAGTTGGTTTTTATTTTTTTTTTCCGTTTTAAAAAATAGCTTTTTGAGGACACCTTATGAGATTCATGTAATAGTACATAATCTGTCCAAGCTGTTTATTATTTTCATGTTTGAAAACTATTTTTTTATCTCACTCATCTTATCAGCTATTAAAGAACATTTTTAAATACACGTTACTTATATTAATTTTCTTGAGAGATTTTAATAAATTACGTACAACTTTTATCTATAGCGCTTTTTAAATATACATGTTGTATAAACAATTAATTCATACTTAGTTTTCGCATAAATAAATATAAATACTTAGATGAAATGTTTTTAAATACGTTATAAAGTATCTACCGAATTAAAATTGCATGGTTTTTTTATTAATGTATTTAATAACGTCAATCAAAAAAATATAAGTTATAAATAAAAGCTTGAATAAAGGTTGTTATTTATTATAAAAATGTGTACGACATTTTAATTATTTCTATACAAATTAGTGGTTATTTTCTATGGCAAAAAAATGTGAATATGAATTACATTTTTTACATATACCAGACCCGACTACATCACTAAACACAAATTGTTTATGAATGTACTTTTAAACCCCATAAATATAGATTATAAAATAATGGTTAAAAATAATTAATATCATTTTCTTGGTTGGCTACTAAGTGCTGGGTTATTATTGGGTTACAGCTTCGGCCGTTTGGATGGAATCGAATTCTTGTTGACCATCATCAGACGTCTTGTTGATATCCTGCGATTGTGTTGTATCAGTTACTTTTTCCTGACCGTCAACCAAATCCTGTTCTTTTTCCTGACCGTCAACTAAATCTTGTTCTTTTTCCGGATCATTATCAATACTCTGTTGTGCGTTATTTTTGAGTAACTTTTTCAACAGATAAAACAGAACGTTACAAAATGTTGTTTTAAAACTTATTACAAAAATGATTGTTTATTTCAAAGGCTTACTTTATTACAATCTAATGAAGTGGGGCCGTGGACGGTAACACAAGAACCGTTTCTACAGCAAGTCATTATGATTTTTACCGCACCAATACCATTATATTTACCATTACCAATGGCATGGTGCAACTGCGGCGGTCTTATTTTGTCCAAACTTTGGAACACACTGTCCATAACTTTGTTCATATGATGCATGTGGTTTTGTATTGTATTTTCTAATGATTCTTGATGGAAAGGAAATTCCTGGCTTCCTGTACAGGATAACGCATCGAAAGTTTATTTTAATACTGTATAAACACATAATATACTTTAATCGTATTACTCTTCATCATTGGTCTAAAATATGGATTAATTCGACCATAATATCTGCGATTTACATGTCCATTAAATCCGTTTAAGCCCTCCGTGTTATAAACGTACCTAAAACAACAATATCTATTTTAGGTAATCTTATTTAATAAAAAATATGATAACTAATTGTCAACGGAGTCTCACAATAATCTTTTAAGGACAATTATATAAAATTTGAGTTACAAAATTTACACACTCTTATAGGAATTAAAATAAAATAAGTTCTAATCAAAATTAAAGACAACTCGTAAGTGGAAAAATAACGAAAATGAAAGGTATATAATAAACAGTTAATATATATATATATAGTTTTATATTTTATAGCCTTAAGAAATACTGATATAAGATCTTCATTCTAAAACGATAAACGTTTTAATGTTACTTTATGAAGCACAAAATAACTCGATGTATCAATGAAAACTATAATTTTTAATAGAGCTTGGTAAGAGGGAATATATTCCCTCTTTATAATATTATTCCCTATTATAAACATAATATATACTTACGCCTCCATCACATGACACAACACATAGATTACCAAAAAGAACAATACGTTCTTAGTCATTTTCAGTTTAAACGATGTAGTAAATATGAATATAAGTAACCAAATTTTAGATTATTCAAATGTACCAGTAAATAAAAACATAGCAGTTCAATATAAATACCTACTTAGCATAATAACTACTCCATTAATTATCCTTATTATATCAAATATAACAATACATTTTACATATGCATTTAGATAAATGACACTTGCTAATAATAATACTAATTTTCGACATAACTATGAACTTTGTAAACAATTTATATTTTTATGGGATAATTAGTGTAAAAATATTACAAAATAGCCTAAACCATATTTTCATTACATTTGCAGGTTTAAAATTAAACTGAAAACTAAACCTAATAAAAAAAAATAACAATATAATATTAGTATAATATATTAATCCTAGTATAATATAACTATACAATCCATACAATTATTATTATTATTATTATTTATTCAGCAAAACTATTATAGGTAAGTAGTATTTTATAATTTTCATATTATGAGCTGATACGTACACCAACTGAACTAATTATGAATACATCAGAATATAATGTAGTCTTAGTAAAAACAAAATGCGAATGAAGTGTATTATGTACTATATTTAAACAAATGGTTTTTCAATAAAATAATATTTACAACAATGTATTTTCTATCAGACCACTAATTACATCGTTTTTGCAACAATGTTGTTTTCTAAAATGTATATGCTAATCACGAATAATATACTATTTTATATGATATTTATTTAGTTATCCATTCCTAATATCCTAAAGTTCTAAAATCTATCATAAACATTTTATTAAACTTATTTTTGAAAAATTTATATTTTAAAACATCTGCGGTATAATTGCAAAATCTATGGCTAATACGGTAAAAAAAATATTTTTCAACTATTAACATAATATGACACAATTTTTTTTTTATCAAAAAAATAAAAATTAATCTTTGCTGCATAAATATAAATTGTATCCACCATTTATGCTTCTAGAAGTGCTTCAAGATGGAAATCGAAGAGTTAGCATGTGTAGCAAATCTTTACAATCAATTAATACGTGGAAAAAGTAAAAAATAAAATAGGAAGTTTTGGTTACATCATCTACTTTTCAATTGTTCTTACCAACGCTTAGTCAGTTTATTTTAATATGATTTAAGAAAGTTCAAAGAAAATTTTTTTATTTGAAAATGTCGATTTAAAATTTCTATAATCAACTTTTCAGTATCAAATCCTAACTATTGAAATAACATATATACAGATTACTGTTGATGCTTTAAATTGAGATTTTATAAAAAAAAAACTGCCTACACCGAACTCCTTAATAAATAGGGGTTATAATGGTCTCATAACCTTTTAATAATTAAATACAATCAACGTCGTTAAAAATTTTTAATCATTAATAAAAATAAATAAATTAAAAAAAAAAAAAACTGATTAACATTAGCACTACATTTTTTTGTTTAATTAAGTGCCATGGAAGTTTATCTTACGGAAATGAATCCGACAGGTTATCGAAAGTAAACACTAGAATTACAAAACCACCATGATATTGATAATAATGACAGGTCTCCAAATGATCACAGTGTACACCAGGATTTATTTTAAGATGCAGTAGGACACTGCTTGTGCAATAGGAAATGTAAAATATGCAGTTGACTTCACGAATATAATATGCACTTAAGAAATATGTATGTAAGTAGGATAACATAATATAAAATTAGACTTGTTTTAATTTGTTATGGATAAACCTATAAAACTTTAAAGTTGAAAAATTGTATAGCCGTGCGTAAGCTTAACAAATCAAAATCCTCAGATGCGGATGGAAGTTTCTCTCTCACTTTTGAGTAATTCTTGTAGTTGAGATTGATAAACTTACAAAGTATAATGATTAAAATTAATAAATTTCAATACTTCGATAAGACAACTGGCTCTCTATATATACTTCTATATATACTCTATACATTTATATAACAATTTTATAATATTTAATTATCAATTGATAAATACATGTAAAAATATTTTATATGAAGTATATAAATACAATTATAAATATTTGCTATATGCTTTGAATAAATTATGACTTTTAGGCTTATGATATCATTATGCATCAGGTACACTAAGGTTAAGGCTTCCCTTTGGGCAAAACATTGTCCTTGAACAGTCCTCGTACGTTTCCTGGAGGGCTATAATTCGCCACAACAATATACATGCCCTTAGGACTCTTCGAAATACCCACACCCATCTCTTTTGAATTTTTCCAAAGTAATTGTGTCATATGTCCATACGTTGTAACTGAAAAAATTAAGTTTAAAATTATCGGTATTGTAACAATATCAAATATCTAAATGGTTATATTGTTTAAATAAGCCGATCAATGTTTAACCATATTTACTTAAAAACATTTACACAATAGATATTAGACAAACTGTTAAACCTTGTTATTTTTACTTTAACTTTGTTATCTCAATTTTAAAACAACTATACATTTTTGTTTACTCACAATGTGACGCTATTGTCTTTTCGTCTGCTTTAAAATTATAACCTCCATTATTTAAAATTTCATTATACCAGCTAGTAGCAGCTTCCTTTCCCAAGTTTGCTTTTTTTGAGCTTGCAAAAAGATTTTCTCCATATTTTCCTTCCTTTCTATGTACCAGCTTTGAGGATTTTGCTAAATGATTTGCCCAATCCTGGGCATAAATATTCATCTAAAATGCATAAAAAAAAAGAATAAATAGATACAGATTATTGGGATACCTTTAATACAAAAAAAAAAAATACAAACAAATATTTTTTTTGACATTTTGACGAGATAAAAATATGTAATGTTTCTGAAGTCCTTTTTTACTCTAGCTAAATATATTCAACCCGTCGCTTAAACTAGATGGCATCATACATTAAAAAAAAGTCATACGTATCATTATTGTGTTACTTTTTCGTTAATTGTCAATTTGTTCACTCTGTGTTGTTTCCTGTACACGTTTGTTTGGTCTAGAAGTTGCTTTCTGAAATTTATAACATCAGAGTTCGATAGACCGCCAGCTGGTTTTACTGCCTGTGTTGGCTTTTTAGTAGGTTGAGTTTTAGATGGATTTTTACTGGTATTTTTTTTACTACTTTGGGAATTTTCCGTTTTATTAGTTACGTTTTTTTTGTTTAATCCAGAATTCAAATCGTTACATTCTTTTTGGGATTTGGCCTGCTAGAAATATTCAAATACAACTGTGAAAATAGTAGAGTACAAAGTTGTAAATAATTACTTGGCTAATCCCAACTACTGACCGTATCGCAACTACAAGAAGCTTGGCGTATTCTACAAGTTCCATTTGAGTAACAAATGGTGGTTATAGCAAACTCATCGCTATCACGTTGATTATTTTGATTACCGTTGAACGCTATTTTAGTCCTTAAATTTATCAGCCCACTTTTCCACAATTGCTCCACCGCATCCGCCAAAATATCATCGTTTGGATCTTTAACCACGTCGTTATTGTTGTGGCCTAAAAAAGGACATTATCGTTAAAATTTACTTTTTAGAATTCAAATGAAATATTTAATCAGAATATCAAAATTAGAAGTCTTAATATGGTATTGATTTTTTTAAATTATAAATTATTATTACTAGGCCCGGAATAGTACGACTTAGTAATGTAATGTCGGGTATTCAGTTGATTTGATGATTCCCGGTTATTTTGTAGTTCACGCCTGAAATCCAATAATAAATACATGGCAATATTATAATTTGGTGGTCTGGGATTACTTAATACTTTTATAGAACTTACTGATAAGCATTACGAGCTGTGATTAAAATCAAAATGAATAATTTGTGAAAAATCATTTTTTTGTGTGTAATAAAAGCGAGTTTTCAACCGTGTTGCCGTGTTCGAGTGAATCGAAAACTTAACAAAAAATCCCTTCAAAATGCTGTAAAAAATATATTTCAAATTAATTCATACCTCATCAGTGCGAACCAAACACTTTTAAGACTATAAATATTTTAAAGCCGATTCTAATCGGCTTATTTCTAAATTACCAGATATAATTAATTTCTGTACAATACAAAAGAATAATTTGTATGGCGGTATAGATTTAACAAAAATTGTATTGTATGAATTGAATTTTTAAACAAAAAGTCATCTAACCATTTTTTGAAGGTTCTCACTACTTAATTTAATATTTATAATAAACAGCCTTCGTTCCAGGTTTCTTAAACTTAATTGTTTAGCTTTTTACCATGAAAATAACTTGACAAAAATCATATATTGATTATTTTATCTATAATATATTATTAATGTTATGTTAACTGGAACAAATTTGGCTAACTCTAACGTTAGGTAGTAATTACATAAACTATTATAATAGTGAATTTAGCCATTCACTGTATGCAGATCAAAACAATAACTGTACACTCTTAGGTTCTGACGTCTAATGTTTATATCTATTATTTTATATTGCTTTTCGGTATACTCAGTCGAGAGGCAATCCGCGATATGGCAGCAATTTACTTGCTTACGTTTGAAAGTTGTTTGTATAATCATTTTTAATTTATAACGTTTCTATTAAACTATGGGGATCGTCAATAAACCTAACTCAGCGATACCCGTAAGATGACAGAATCATTTAGTTATGGTTTGCTGACCAATAGTTAAATATTTTACTTAAATTATCTCTTTTTCTGCTTAATCCACTCGAACGACCACCACTACGGGTCGTTTTAAGTCAGGGTAGAACTTTGGGATCGTGCAAAACGTCTACAATTATTATTTTATTACCATAAGAGAAAACAAGGATAAAAATACCTTCTCAGCTCCGGATCGAAGCTAAAACACTGGATGATAAAATGAATATAAAAAAAACTGCACAACCAAATAATATTTTTATTGAAGTACGCCGTACTTACAGAGTTCGAATGCCTCATTCGGTGATAATATTATGTTTTAGCAGCGCGTTTACCTATGTATACTCACCTCGCCTCGTTACTACTTACAATTTTGACGCATTGTATGGGAAAACATAAAAATAATTGTTTGAAAAAAAAATGCATGCTTATAATGCCTATCGTGCAAAATTAACAACGCGTCGGCTACATAATGAATATAATAAACACAAGGCATTTGCAATCATAACAATAACAAATAATTTTACAACACGAATGTTTCAATACAAAATATTATGAACGTGATGTTTTTTTGTATAAATATACAAAACTAAACAGGCATACAGTGTGTACCAGAAACAAAGTTCACACTCCACGGGATGGTACTATAAGAGGCCCTAAAACTAGTACTGTAGTGTTTCCGGGTTTATTTGTAAAATATCCATAAAAAATAAACCATACAAAAGTATTTCACGAAACATGTTTTTATCAAAAAAAAGGGGTTATTCGATATTTTGCAAAAATGATCATCATCACCGCCATTTTTTTTACTTACCATGTCCAAAATTGTAATTTTGGTGTGATGCCATATTGGTATTGGCATTTTTCAGAATTTCCGTGGGGTTATACGTTTTTGTTTTAGTGCTTACTTAATCTTCTCAGAAAAATACGACTGATTTTATAGTAAGAACTGAAATGGGAAATTTCTCACAAAAATCACTAAAAAAATCGAGTGACCATTTTTGTTTACAAGAGAATTTTTCCGGAAATTCAATGATATGGTTTATTTTTTATGGATATTTTACAAATAAACACGGAAAACCTTGTTTTTAATAAAACAAATTTTTTTTAAATATTTGTTCTCAGGGCCCATATACTAACATCCGTAGGGTGCGACATTTTATGTTTCTGGTGCACCCTGTATACCTTGGATAGTTTTTTATGGTATCATAAAAACGTTATAATACTATATGAACTATTATAGTAGTTTAAGCTTTTTTCAAGGACTCTCTGTTAAAAAAGATAATTACAAAAATATTATTATAGTCCCGACCCGTTATTTTATGCATTGTATAGGCTTTTATATAGTATATTCAGACACATGTTGGTAATATATTTTACGCTTCATTTCAAAAGACAATGGTTTTCACAACAATACAACATGTTCAAAACATATTTGCCTTAATCGGTAGATGAAAATAATGTGATTGTTTTAATTACATAACTTGAATTTAATTTATTTCTTCTACAAAAATACAAGTAATATACCATTTCAGTGACGGTCTAGGATCTTTGACGATGGCGGATTCATTAAAAGGTCGTTGTGAGCTCTTTTGAAAAATATGTTTTTCATGTATCGAATTCAAAATGTTAAAAAGATAATGTGTTTTTTTTTTTAAATAAATGCTCGAGAATTTATTAAGTTGCAAATAAATTTTGCTGAGTAAAAAGCAAAACTACTGTTTGGTAACTTTCCACGAGGGTTAAAGAAAAACAAATAGCCGATACCTACCATTACAGAACCAAATTGCAAATAACCCTGAGGCCCCAATAACGTTTGTTGATATTCTGTCTAGACTCAGCTAACACTGAATTGAACCATCTCTATGTAAATACACAATATTTTATGACTTTATCAGCCTTATTGCATTTGGTCTAATTGCAGTAAATCTAACGGCAGTTAATTAAATACGTATCTCTGTTATCCTCGACACTAACTATCCTTGAAATAGGGCCAAGGAAGTAAACTTATGAACATCAAGGTCGTATAATAACGCAATAATAAAAAAATACTCTGCCAGCATGGAGTGCATTGATGTTCATAAGAAGAAAAATGTTATATAATTTGTTAAGATTTTATTTTTAACGATCATCAATATTTTCTGCTTATTGCTTTGTGAATGAGAGACGTAATTGTCGTTACGTTGAGTGGTATAAAGTTAAATTAAGATTGTACACTCCAAGCGTAATCCATTATTAAGTACACATACTTTAATACAATTGAATGAAGACAAATCATTAATATTTTATGACAACCGACAACTGTAATCTAATAGTTATTATTTTATAATTTAATTAAAAAAATATATATATTAATCAATCAGACTCTATGTGAAAAATGGCATTTCAAAACCAGTATTATGTATTGGTCCTCAATATTATAAAAATAAGCAATAATTATTATTTTTAAATATTAAATAATATTAGTCCTCATAAAAAAACCGCGGTAGATGTACTATTATTAGCATAACAAGTTACAACCGAATATTTTGATAATATATATAATTATTCAAAATAAATTTAAATTACATAGTTATTCTATACGATTTTAATTTTGATTGCGAAAAAATAGAGTTTTAGGCAATAACTACTACACTATGTTTCAGCTCCCAGATGTATATTGTTTTTCATATTTAATTATTTCACCATGTAAAATAAGTCCCTTTTTTTATAAGCGTGTTGTAGTAGTTATTTTATAATAAATTGAATATAATTTATAATAAATTGAATTATAAAATTGTTATGATCTTGCTTTAATATTGTTCTGAAATGCTAGCGATAATCAGTAATAGTAATATTGCACGTTTACCTATAATATTATACAAGATATCAAATAAATTTTAAAATATCGATTACCATACAATTGTAATTATAATCAACTACCCTAAAATTAAAAATCAATTCTTCTAAACTGTAAATGTTTATAAAAAAACAAATCCAACACATACTAAATAATGTTAAATTAAGCTATTAGAATATATATTTTTATTTTTTTTAATGACGCATGCAGTTCACAATGTTGTAAATCACTTTCTTGACCTTATCTCCAAAAAAAGTCTCCTAAAATTGTTTACTGCTATGTATATGACTAACATCATTTTAAATCCAACATAATTTGATGAAAACAGTTCCTTGCACATCTAAGAATGTTTTCCTTACTCCTGTAGAACTTATTCGGATAGAGTGAATTCATCTTACAGCTTTTACAGTAGTTCTCTCACCAAAGTTTTATCCTATTTTACATACTTTTTTTAAGAAAACTTGAATGCTTGAAACATAATTATTGTCCAAGCCAATTTTTGAATTGCTGTGTTTTTTTTTTTGGAGAATTGTTTAGCATTCCACGATAATAACAGTCGTACCATTATCTTAATCTCAAAATATGAGTTCAAGCGAATATTATTCATAGTATTTTTACATTACCAGAAAATATTATTTAACGAAAATCGAGTTAGAGGTATTTTAATTTTGTCTTTATTTTATTTACAACTATGGCGTTGTTACAAAAGTAGATTATTCTAATGCACTTGTATCCAATAAATACAATTAATTGCTCTTCAGGGTAAAGTTTATAACGTGTAATTACTAATAAATTAACTTAGTACTTTCGTAATATTTTAGTATTTTACTAAATAAAGCCTTTCAAAGAGTTTAAACAACAAAATAGTTAGTAAACACATTTTTAAAAAAAATAACTATTTGCAAAACCACTTTTATACGATAACACGCTATTAATAGGCCTGGATAAAATAATTTTGTCAAGGTCAAACTAATGATTATAACATCTTTTTTTAATTATAGCATCCACTTTCAAATAAGCAAAATTCACTTAAAATAAAATAGCTTAATTAATGATGATTAATACAACAAGAAATAAAAATACTTCATGGAGAAATATAACTATTTTAAAAACACTCAATGTATAAATCCCATTTACGTTTTAAAATAAAAATTATAAAAAAATCATGGATTAAAGATAGGATTTTTTCAGTGTTAAAAAAACTGGAATTATATTAAGGTTTGCAAATAAAATATAAAAAGTATTAATATTTAACGTTTTACATTATGTTTTTATAATACTTAATGTTATAAAAATCAAAACGCAAACGAAATTTTACAAAAGAAAAATCAATTGGTCATATAAAACATTTAACACAATTCAAATCTAAACAATATTTAAAATTGTGTTTAAATTTAGTTAATTCAATTTTAAAAGACTAAATGGTTTCGTACTTAAAAGTCTTTAGGTTTGTAATAAGTATGAAGGAAGTTAATATTTAGATAAAAAATGTTACAAAATAAAAAAATAAACTTAAAATTTTGTTTTTTATAAGTTAAGACGACGAATAAAACGTAATCAAACAAAAATGTAAATAATAATATGTTTTTTAGTTATTATAATTAAAACCCAAACAAAATTATTCTTAAATCCTTGAAAGACAACTTAAACAAAATGTTATATCTATAACAGACACGGCCAGAAATGATAACGTCACTAACGTAAAATAAGGTGGTGTTGCTTAGTTAGTAATTATTTTAAGTCTTACATGCTTAAAATATCAAATGTACTTACTACTAAATTGAGTGTAAATATTCCTCCACGTGGGTACCTTAGTCCTATGTTTAATAATAACGATAAATAATATGTATATGATAGCTTTGAATAATTGTTTTGAAATAATTAACTACAATTTACGTAATTTTTTTTTTTTTAAATAACGGTTGATACTTATAACACCTGTTTGATTGTTGATGTAAAAACTATTAACTTACAAAAAGTGATAAATACTATGTTTTTAATTTGATTTATAGCTTTGTTTTAATATATATTATATTAAAACAATAAAAATATGTATTAGTTTATACTTTATTAAAAATATAAGAAGTGAACTTAAAACAAATGGTAATTCAGTATTTAGTGTTAAAAATAAGTATATTTTCTTTTAAAAACATAATAAAAAATTAAATAAAAAATACTTATAATTATTTAAAAGGTAGATGTACTTTATATTTTTCACAATGTTATTATTATACGCCGAACGTGCAATTCCGTTTGTAGTAAAGTATAGACTGAAAACATTAACCGTTCATTCGCAGATTCATTGAAGTTGTGTCGGTTTGATACATTCACTAACTACTATTATAAATAATAACAAGAAAAAAGCGAGGTTACAAACAATACACTAAAATCACTACATCTAATAACAGTGTTTTGTCCTGGTACATCACAGATCTTTGTTGTAGAGTCTACCTATACAATATTAAAAACATCTTTGAAATATCTACCAAGATTATTATATCCTTGTACGCTTGGTTATCAATTCGCTTATAATAATGTGTTATTATTTTGTGAAAGCTAATAATGGTAAAAACTAACTAAGCAATGTATTTATTTTTATAAATTAGTAAGCAAATAAGAAGATGAGTGTTTTTACTTCTTGATAATTATATTATTATTATATCAATTTAAAAAAATCAGAGGTTAAACAGCTATACTTTGTAGCTTCCTGTATTTTCAATATAGTTTTTAGACGATAGTAAATTAATAACTCAAAAATACATACTAGTTTTAAAATGTGATAAATTATGTGAATAATTAAGTAAATTAAGTGAATTATGTTATTTCAAAAAATTGTTGTAAAATATATAAAATTAAATTATTGTTTATTAAACGCAGTCAATATTAAAGGAGTATGTAAAAGTGAGTGAAAGAAATAATTAATAATAAAATTCAAAATTTATATTACTTTGTATTATTTTTTAATACTTGTTTTTTAGCTAGACTGTAAATAAAAAAAAGTGTAGAAGATAATTTCCTCGTCGTCTTTTGAAATAAATCTGGTTTACAATAAAATTATCTTTTTTAATTTTCAATTTATAATAGTCAATAACAATTATTCTGGCACGACACGCGGAATGCATATGCCATGAATATCGCAATATTAAAGGGTCATGATTTATGCTGTTAGTAAATAGATAATTTTGATAAGTAATTATTTCTTGTCTTCGATATTTTACATGTCCAATGTGATATCAATTTTTTTTTGTTTTTATCCCCTCCCAACTTAGTTTCTTTGATAGCGACTTTTGAAACTTAAATTGTGACGCATACATTTCATTAACATTTTAATCTGAGAATAATGTACTACAAATTTTGACTGGTCGATAACCAGTTTTGGATAACTATTTATGAAATTATTGACGTTTCAAGTTTAAGGCAGAAGGAAAGCTAGTAGTATTATTTTTATCTGCGCGCATTTCCCAACCGCTCTTCTCCTCCCATCCTAAATTTTTAACTCTTATAACTATAAAAATAGCCCCGGCACACAAAAAAAAAGGTTGTTTGTGCATTTTACCAGACCCAATTACGGACATGTATAACGATCCACTGAATCCGAATTTGAGGTCTGTTTGGCCCGGTCACCCTCCAGATTTGAGTAAAATGCAAAAAACCCAAAAAATGCAAAAAAATTGCGAAAAACTGCAATAACAGCGATAAAAAAAATTTTGTGGACCCGGATTAAGTATGATTTTTATGTATTTCAATCTGCTAAATCTGAATCTGAAGGTTAATTAGCGCGTTGAGCCGTCAAAATTTTAAAAATTTGCAAAAAACCGAAAAAATTGCAAAAAATCATGAAAAACCAAAGTTATGTAGATGAAAAAAATTTGTGGATCCAGATCGAGAATAATTTTTATGTATCTTGTTCCACTGAATCTGAATCTAAAGTTTATTCAGTCCATTAAAATTTCAAAATTAAAAAAAAATCTCAAAAAACCAAAAAATTTGGGAAAATTGCAGTTATAAATATGAAAAAAAATCTATTAAACACGATTTTTAATGATTTGGGTGTATTTTCATGGATGGAATATGATCTTAAAATCTAAAAATCGGCAAAATTTATAAAAAAAATAGCATGTAAAAAGAAGGTAGGAAACAATAGTTTTGAATTTCAAACTGCTCTTCGTTTGTATCGAATTCTTTTATCTTCAAATGACCTACGCAGCGGGTTCCTCTTACGTTTTCTGTTTTCTTCTGGTATTTCTCTTTTCAGCATCCAGCAAAAATCTGCCATCATGTTGACATTCCAATTTCCTCGATACCTACTCTCCTACTTGATCCGGGTCCACAACATTTTTTTCATCGCTGTTATTACAGTTTTTTGCATTTTTTGGGTTTTTTGCATTTTACTCAAATCTGGAGGGTGACCGGGCCAAACAGACCTCATATTCGGATTCAGCGGATCGAAATACATGTCCGTAGGTAGGTCTGATCAAATGCACAAACAAATTTATTTTTTTTGTGTGCCGGTATAGTTATTAAAAACTGGTTATCAACCAGTAAACATTTTTAGTATATTATTCTCAATTTAATAAAATGTATGCGTTACCCTTTAAGTTTTAAAAGTTAGTATCAAAAAGACTTAGTTGGGAGGAGGGTAAAAACAAAAACAAAATTGTGGAAAATTGAAATCACATTTCACAAAAACCATATAAAAAAAAAATAAATTTTTTTAATAAATCCTATGCGATTAGGAGTGGTTTGCGGTAAAATGATCACTCTGTACATATATACTAGGTACGCAATATGTATTTGAAAAATTTAAATTTCCAAACATAAAAATTAATAAATAATAATTTTTTTTTTAAGTAATAACATAGATTAAATATATAGATACAATATTTACCCTATGTTTATAATAAATACCAGTTAAATCGTTTTCATACAAAAGAACTGATATAATAACAATATTTAAAGAGCCTCAACACTAGCATTTAATAAGGCGCATTGTATAGGCAATTTTTCGCTAAAACATAACATTAAGCGAAACTTTTGAACATACATGTTACCACAGGAAAGAAGTATCTATTTTGATAATTATTATTTTTTTCAACTTTTATAATGCATATAGGATCTATTTTTGTACAAAAGCACATGTTTCTACTTCAAACGTACTATCCTTTAGAATAAATCAATTTAAGTTTTCAAAAAATATTTTGAGTTCTCCAAAGCATTTTTAATTCATCGGTCGTGGCACAATTTAAAAATTATTTTCAGTTAATTAATTATTTCAATATAAAAATATGCAGTTTTTAACTTTTTTCAACTGAAATAATTAATTAACTGAAAATAATTTTTTTTTTATTGTACCACGACTGATGCATTGAAAATGTTTTGAAGAACTCAAATATTTTTTCAAAACTTAAATGGGAGTATTCTTAGGAACAGAACGTTTGAATTAGAATGAGTTGTTATCGGCCAAAAATACGCAGGTGTAGAGGCCCCTTAATATTATACAATTTAATATTTAAAGTAATTGTTCAAAATATATAATTTGTAATTACCGAATTAGGGTTCTTCATACGATTTTTGGATCCTTTTTCAAAGAGCTTCCATTAAATTCAACTTTAGTTCTTTCTTTCCAAGGAGATAGAACATTTTCATTTAAACTTTTATCGTAATCCCCTTCATAATCATAGTATACCACAACAAAATATTTATGGGTAGTTGAATTTTGAGCCATTCCTACTCCAATCTTTTTTGAACTTTTCCAAACTAAACGAGTAAAATCAGCTAAAAATAAACAATAACATTTAGTGTTGGCTGTTTTGTTGGAAAGGGCCAATTTGTATACAAATTAAAATACTATGTCACTTACCATAGTGTCTATCATACCAATTTCAAAATGTTTGTTTTAATATAACTTTTGACATATTGTTCTAGTCAAAAGGCTGATTTTTAACTTTTGTTTTAAAAGTTCTGCTATAAGCATTTTTATTTTTATTTTTTTATGTGTTTTCTAATAAATTTAACTTATATTCTAAGTTCTAACCAATAAATAAAAAATTGACTTTTGATCACCTATAGAGAAAAATAGTTTTTCAAAATAATGATATCCGTTCAACGGTTAAGTTAAAAGATTACCTCTACAAAAGCCTAACTTACCCTATGGTGCGCTATCGCAGACAAAAAAAACTGAAATGGTTATGTAACTAGAAAAACTTAATGATAATATACAATTAAATAAATTAGCATACTTAAACTGGGTCATAGATTAATTAATGCCAATAACTTTTTAAGTCTTCCTCAAAATCATCATTATCATCGTTACAATTAAGTAGCTTACGAGTATATAAAACTTGAAACAATGATTGCTTAACATTGAATAATAGTATAGAGAAACTTACGTGCTTCTCCTACTTCGTATTGTTTTTCACCATAACGCACATTTTCCCCTTGTTCATACCACTTATTAATGGCTTTCTTACATAACTTTTCTTCTAGAGACTTGCCTAACAAGTAACTGGATATGACAAAAACACTTTCGTTGATTTTCTCCAATAGCCGCCCATTGGCCATTGAGTTTGCTCTCTTTTGAGCAACTTTAGTCATCTACTTCCAGTGAAAATTAAAAAAATTATACTGAAAAACGCTTAAATAACATATAATATAAATAGCGATAAGTAATTGCTAAAAATTAGTTTGTACAAAAGTGTACAGAAAGAAAATATAATAAAAGCCACTTGTTGGAGATGAGATGAAATAGGAAATTGCAATGACGTAATTTAGTAAATAAGATCTCGTTTTAAAAACTTTATAGCGATTACAAGAAAAAGGATAACTTAGTAAACTTGATAACTTAGATAACTTAGATAACTTGTAAATTTTAAACTAGTCCCAGGACTTAAAGTGTAGTTTTGTTATGTAGTATGAAAGTGTTATTTATTTTTACCTATTCCGTAATGTAAAAATAAACCTATAAATTTAATTTACTATAATTATTTTAATAAACGTTAAAAAATATGGGACTACCATATAGAAAGTTCAAATTATGGAGCTTAAATTAATTTAATAACCTGGTTGTCTAGTTTTATTACACCAACACCATGATAAATCCTTAACATATTTATTTGATTTGTAAGGTCTTCACGAAAGTCTTGTACTATTTCGATTGAAACATCACCAGCAATTTTTTCTGTATGTTTTGATACTTTATCATTGTTTTTTTGGTGTTTATTTTGTTCATCATTAGTGTTTACTTGATTATGATTTTCTTTTTGAACGTCTTGCAAAGATGGCTTAGGAAAATGCTCTAATTGTTGTTGGTGATTAGACGATTTTCCATTAGCTTTTTGTTGTTTTTCTTCTTCCTTTTTTTTGAAATTACTTTTTAATGAATCGTAAACATTGATATGGTTTTTTGATTGTTGGGTTAAATCAGCTCGGTTAATTTCATTAAAATTCTCTTTTAACACCTGACCATTAGCGGATTTCCCCTGAATTATAATAATTTATATTATGGTTAAGTAGAGAATATTGAGCTAAAATCTTAATACGCTATAATTTTCATTTTACAGACTTACTATATTTTTTCCGATTTTCGGGCTATTTGAAACATAAAGGATGACCTGATAGCTCTTGCACTTTTTCGGATCTACTAATCCAGAAAAATCAAGTGTATACTGGCATAAAACATCTGTACAATTTCTATTATCTGACACCAAAGAATATAATACATTTGTAAAGGCACCAATAAGTAACGGCATTAAGGTGTCAGGCGATAATTGAACATTTGTTGTCTTAGGAGGAACAGCTGTAGTAGTTGTAAGTTCTAAAAATGAACATTTTATTTATTAGTAGGTACACAAAACCATACCAACATGTACGTAGGTAGTTTTGAGACAATCGTATTTGAATTTAAAAAAATTCTTGATTGCCTTAGCTTACCTTTTTGATCATTTAGAGATGGTGGACCGAGTCCTATGAAACTTAAACCATCTAATAAAAGTGGAGCGATGTTGATAGGATAAAGCGGTGAACTGTAAAAAAAATACAGAAAATACTTACACAAATCTATAGTATGTTGAAAACTACATTATAAATGCCGATAACACAATTATAGTAAAAATGTAGTATCCAAACACATGCCTTACATATGTATCGCAAAAATGGCGACTGAGAATATTATGGAAATCGGCCTCATAATTTCGCAATTCAACTTTATTAATAGCTTTTATTCGAATATCCTTCTATAGAGTACATAATTGATAAAATGAATTTAATGCAATTTAAAACAACTTTTAAAAGCACATTATGATGTTTACTAACAAATCATCAGATGTTAATTATTGTTACACAGTGCACACATGTTATGTATGCATACACATTACATATAATCTATAGTATCAGTAAATAAAAACAACCGTTAGCTGTGCACTAAATAACCTAGTTAATGAATATTAAAAACATTTATAATTGCTTGGTTTTTAATGTGCACATCTGGCCAACGTATTTGACGGCGTATTATAATGCTATAAATGAAACAGTAAATGAGTGTTTTTAATTAATAATTATTACTTCAATAATTATGACTAACAAATTATATTATAATAGTTGAAATCGTATTATTAGTAACGTATACTAGTGGCATGCACTGGGTTTTTACTTTTATAAAGAAAAACAGCATAAAGAAGATTTAGACTCAAATATCATTTTTCTATTTGTCACCTGAGATTTTTTCAGAAATTGTGTTAATTATAAGAAGTAGATTTGTATGTAATATTGAACTTACTATAAAAATTTAACCATCTCTAATAGTCATAATATCCTCATTGACTTCAAGATAATAATATTATTCGAATACATATTGAAGAATAAATAGATATGAAAAACGTGTTCCTTTTATGTGGATACAAATCAACTTTATTTAAGTCGGTGGTATTTACTGTGTTTTAGTAATCTATTATTTTATAACCTTAACCTAAAATACTGATTTATATATGAATTAATCTAATATAATCTATAATTAATCTGGTTGAAAAAAAAGATCACGATGAAAGGAAAATTTAAAACTGTATCAACAACCGCAATGTGGAACCTTGAAAACTCCGCCAATCATCTAGGAATTAACAAATACATTGAGCCATAATCGACATATAGACAAAAATAACTAGATAGGCTGGAGGAGTAAAAATTAAAATGTTAGGAAAAGTGCATTAAAAAAAAAGTGATCACGAACGTTTATTATCATCATAGTTAATAGTGACTTAGCTAAATAAATATAGCAGTTCCCGAAATAAGTTATAATCTTTCATAACATTTTCAAAATGGGTAATCAAGTTTAAAAAAACTATGTTACACTACTTTATTATACATTTTTTAATTAAGAATATCGTAACTTCATAGTGTACACTGTATATATTATATGTGCACGAGTAGTATTTTTATACTTATGTTCTTAGTTTATATAATTATGTATATTATTTGTTATTTTTTAGAGTACAAACTCTAGTAAATAGGACTACTAGAAACAAAGCATTATATGGAAATTTACACAACATTTTTTTTAAAAGCTCGCCATGGCCGAGTAGAATGATTTATGAGACGGTAGTGTCATTCGTGGCAGTGTATTGTCTTTTGATTTTATGAACCACAGACAGACAGAAAGAACCAAACTAACCTGTCTATAGAAGAAAATAGTTTCCATTTTTTTTTTTTTTTTAAGAGCATGTGCATAGTACTGATCTTTGTTGTTTATACACCGTTTTACAACTTTGAATATTACAATATGTAATATACAACATATTATATCCTAATTTTTAGGATACAATAAGTTAATGTGCCATGTGAAAAATCTTTAAAGCAAAAAAATCCTTTCACACTGCACGGTGTTACTCTTTTTTCTGTAAAATTATGTTTCATTATCAAAATGGCACCAACTTATAATAAAACTATGTACACATATACGTTCAAAATTATAGTCAAAGGTTAATTTAAATTAATTAACAAATAAACTGATGTGATCAACATTTATTTAAAATAATTTGTCATAATTATTACATTTACATTGTATCATAAAAAATAATTTTGCTTAAGGTAGTACAATAACAATATAAAATATTGTTTATTAAAAATGGTACAGGTGTCATGAAAAAACTTACCAAAATCTCTCTATAATTTATTTATGATAAATTAATTTATTTATTAATGGCACAAGTTTATTCACTGTCTTTTTTAGGCAAAACATTCTCCTTGAAAAATCCAACGACATTTCCAGGTGGGCTATAATTAACTACAATGATGTACCAGCCATTACCCATTTTTGAAACGCCAATGCCAATCTCTTTTGTATTTTTCCATATCACTTGGGTGAAATGCACTAGTGTAAAAACATATTATTTTCGTATCGTAATTTATTATTAATTATAACACATACTAATTTAATCTCAAGTCTAAATCTTAACAAATGAATACATTATATTAAAGGTAGTCATTAGATCAAAAATATACCTACCTACTGGGAAAGACAGTAAATCATGAACATTCTTTGGCGTTGCACAAACAAAATCTGACGCCAATTTTCGATAAGGCCCCGAAAAAAAATGTGTACGCCAAACTCGTTCATCGAATGTACCAAGGAGAAATTTTTGAATTGTAGCCCTCCCTATAAAATCTGACTAAAATACCCTTAAAATATTAACATATTTTTCAATCCATAACTTTTCGAAAATTCTTTTAAACTAATTGATTAGACTATTCAAGTATAATTAGTTTACCGGTTTGAAAACTGGGAAATAAGTACAATAGAATTGTCATGTTTAAGTTATAAAATTTAATGTTTCCCAAGCTAGGAGATAAACGCATAATAATTATCAACGAGCATAAAGTTAATGCGCATAAACGCATAAAATTAATTCTTATCAGTTATGACTTACGTGAGGAATTCTTCGACATCTCTTTTTCGTCACCTTCAAAGTTATAACCTCCATCAAGGTCAATTTCGTCGTACCAACTTTGGACAGCTACTTCACCCATGTTTACTAGGTACGCGGAACTACTGAATATGTTTTCGCCGTACTGGTGAGGATCCGGTCTGTGTTTTATGATGTTCGTGGTTGCTATACTATTAGACCATTCTTGAGCGTAGGCATTCATCTAAAATACGACGTTTAGAATAATAATTTGTTAAACAATATCTACTAAGAAATTTCCAAAACCCATGATTTTGTTTATTCAAGTGTTAATACATCAAAACAATTCCATGGAAAAAAAACCCCGGCCTTCTGGGCCTCGGAAAGGAAAAGTGTCGCTTTTCGGCAAGTTGGTCATCGCAAAAGTATATTCTACGCTAGAAATGTGGTTGAATAATTTAAAATTTATCGAGTAATTTTACTCAATCAATTTGGTCGCAATAGTTGATCCAACTAAATATTAAGTTAAGTTAACTAGTTAAAAAATATTATTCAAATTTCGTTCTTTTTAAAAAAATGTTCTATAGTTATGAGAACCGTCGTTTTCAAATGACACACACTTCACCGTTAATTAATAGTTCACTCGATTGGTGTTTGGCTCGGAGATTATTGGTAGCTAATAAAATGTCTTTGCGAATGATTTCTACTTCGTCATCTGGTAGTTCTGCAGTTGAGTCGTCTAGTTTTTGAACTGTACTATTACTTTGAGTTATATTGAGTGGCTTATGAAATGTCTTCGGTTCGGATGTATTTTTGTTATCGATTTCAACGGGCTGTGTTTGCAATTTAATGTGTTCCTAAAAAAAAAAAAGTTAAGTAATATTTTATTGTTTTTTCACTTCATAGTAATTATATGGCATAAATATCGCTTACAGTGTTGCATTCTTTAAGTTCTCGGACAACTGTACATTTACCATTTTGACAACACGTTATGGTCTTATCAACTGATAGCACCTGTTGTAATTCATGTACATAGTCATTGCGCAATTGATGTACTGAAGATTTTAGAAATTTTAAAACAGTGTTTTCTAGACTGTCTTCTTGTTGCGATGGAAGCTGCTTATTTAATGTGGATGACTCTAACCAAATCAAAAAAAAAAAAAAATCATTGAAAATAAATTGGGAAGATTGACTTACTGAAAATTGATTTATTGTGGGGATATGACATCTAAAATATTTTTGAAAATCTGCAGTCAAAGGAAAACCAAAAAATAGTATAAAAATTACATTCTCGCACAATTAAATGTTCAAGTTATGAGTTTTCTATATGATATTTTTTTAATGGACAAAAAATCAAAAAATGACGGTGATCATGTAAAATAATACGAATTATAATCTATACAACTATTTATATTTATACACATTGAGAGTTTTTACTAGTACCCACTATTTCGAATCAAACAGTTTCAGTTATATTAATTCTTAAATACTTGTGACCTCTCCATTCATGCTATGTCCTAATTTCATTGCTTTTTCAAAATAAATTGTATAATCTCAAATAAATGATCATCTTATACTTAAAAACTTTCAAATAAAATTAAAAAATATCGATTATTTTATTCCAGGATTTGTATTTTACATTTGCCTCGTTTGTTTACAATTGCCCCACTTAATTTCACATACTATAATTATACTATGTGTAGAAAGTTATTGTTTTACATTATAAATACATAAAATAAATGTATAAATTTGTCCATATCGTGAGTAGTAGCAAAAGGTAGATAAATATATAGCTATAATGAATATTGAATACAAAATAAGCACAATAGATAATGAAAGAACACACTGGGTTATTTTAACTGTCACAGACCATCTAAGGCTGTCTATGAACATAGTGGGTGCTTTTATTTGTCTTGTGATGGATTCACATGTCTAATTCCATTGTTTTATCAAATACACATAGTAAATCACTGTGGACTATTTATAATGTAGAAAATACCCCAGAAAATATCAATAACAACTAGGTATACATAAATATAAGTTGGCTCAAATAGTTTTTCAAGTATGTTACCTATTAATATATAGTAATATAATTACTTATAATTGCTCACTAAATTATTATCTATCACGATTTTGTTGGTTTTTTAAGTACAATCAAAGTTTTACTTTTTTTATTTTCCAATGGGTTTTGAGTAGTCATATCGCTACTGGTTTGCAATCTGTAAATACTATTTATTAAGTTCTGCCATAGGTCCACGGGAGTAAAATATGTTGGTATGAGACGTGATTGAATGTCAACTATTAAATAAAAAAACATAACTATAATTTTACTTAAATCATACGACAATACAAATACAGTTACATTTTAGCTCAAACAGGACACAAACTATTTAAATAATAATTACCTGAATTTATAACTTTTGGTAATGTCGCTTGGCGATTGTAAAGTGATAATGTTGGATTGTCTTCATCATAACCATACAAGGAATGGATACCAACATGCCTGTTATGGAAAGTGTATATTATTATCAATTATAATATGTAAGTCAACTTATTAATTTCAGTATATACTCACGCTGCGTCTAGTTTCAGGTACGTCGTTATGAAAACTAAAGTCAATAAAGCAAGTTGTGACATTTTAATAACAGTTGATACCCGAGTTCTGTCGAGAAAATAAATATCTCAATGAACTTTTATGAAAAATATTGTAATTTTAACCAAACAAAATAATGATTTAATCATTATTATATCGAACCAAATTATTTTAATGCAACAACAGTTCTGTTATTGTTTGAAATTCGTTTAGTTGACATTATGTAAATTGCTTTAGTGTTTTAACGAATTAATTTTAAATATAATTTTAGATATTGGGTACAATTTGTTCTTGTTCAACATATTTGTGGCATTAATTAGTCAGATATACTTTCATATTTTAAAAGCATCGACATTGGAAAATAACTATTTAAAAACTTTTGTTGACTGACCCACTCCTTATATTTCCGAACCAAGAATTAATAATAAAATCATTTTTAAAAAAATTTATAATAAATTAAATTACAATAGTTATATTAAGATTGCTATCATTTTTTTTTTAAACAATAAAAAAATACAATTTTACAAATGCAGTAAAATATGTATAACTACTTACGTGTTGGTGGGATACTTACTATGAATGATGATGATCTTAGAATAAATACAAATATGTTTTCAAAAGTACTTTATATACTATTGTTGACTATTTATCGAGACATTTTTTAACACGTACAAAGATTAACAACTGTGAAATGTATGTTCATGTATCATAAATTTCTGTTATCAATCGTATACACTTAATATTTTTCTAGTTCTTTAAATAATGTGCTTTACGTAGAAATTTTGGTTTAAAACAATACTTGTTAAAGACAATACTCAAAAACATAAACCGTTATTATTATTAGCTAATAATAATAACATTTTAAAACGTTTAAGTGAAGAGCAGTACAGCCAAAATATGTTGTCATTTAAGAATTTCTGATCATACATTTTTTTTTAATAAAACATTTTTCTGCAAATTTTTTCTCTTATATTTTTAATATAGATACTTAAACATCACCGTTGAAAACACATTAGAAATACACTTTTGTCTTAATCTCCTGAAAACATTTTAAAACCACGTTTATCATTCATCAATCTTAAGAGTACATAATTTTGTCCGAAGACACTATGTATTAAGGACAACGGTAGGTTCTATTTATTAAGAAGCAGTATATTATATTTGAGGCATATATATATATATATTGGTTTTGTGTTTAATGTTTGACGGTGACTCATGTCATGAACAAATATGTTACGCTATTGTTTAGTGGCTGTAATAATTATATTGTTTACACTTGTTCCGCTTTTATTTTTTGTAATCCTAATTACTTTAATTAAATTTTTTTCTACTTAACTACCTTTTATAACATTATAGGCATTTTAAAATGAATACTCTCTTACTTTAATCTGAATTTAGTTTGCTAAAAACGTGTTAAAAATTCCTAATTTAAACCAAAGTTATGATAGTAACAATATGTATGTATTCTATTACTAAAATTAAAAATAAAATTTCCAATGCTTTACCAGAAAGTCTTAAGATAATAACTATTCCATTGACTTTACCATTTTCAACCGAATATAATGGCTTGTAACAGAGCTGTGGAGAAAAATAATACTTCAAAAATAAACCTTAACTAAGCTATTCGCGTTTGAAATATAAGACCTAGGAGATATAACATCAAAGAGACATATTGCCATTATATAAACTCATGTTTATCATATATATCACAGCTAAAACCGAATAATTTAAATGTAAATCGAATTATACCTGAAGATTGTTCAAGTTTACAAGCATTTTTTTTCTCTTAGTGAAAATTATGTAACGCGTTGGGAGGCGTAGGGCACGCCACAAATTTGTAAATCTGAAAAAACATATTTATGTACATATATCTTGTTTGTATTGAACAGCTGAATGGTAAAGGGATAATATTCATAAGCGCAAATACGGGGGGGGGCTAGGGTGGGCTTAGCCCCCCCCCCTCAAAAAATTAGGTTATGCATACAATTTTAAAATAAAAAAATATATTTACTTATATATATATTTTAAAAAAATGTCCAGCCCCCCCAAATTAAAAATTGAAATTGCGCCTATGAAAATATTCCTCAACACCCGACTTTTGGAAAATTAAAAAAAATAACTGTTTATTTCCTACATAATTATTTTTTATTTCAAAAATATAGTGTTATAGTGTTTAGTTTTTCATAATTTATAATAAAACCAACAAATAACACAAAAAGTCTATAATATATTTGAGGTGTGTTGTAGATATTATAATTAGTAATTGTTTAATTAAAACTAATTGACTTAATTATATTTAAAATTGAATATCATCATTAGATACATACATTTGGGGAAGAAATAACTAATTATTTTAAAATGTAGAAAAATTAGTTGGTGGCACAAAAATGATTTAAAAAATATGAACTAATGAATAAATAAATGAAAATGGTATTCGTGAACTTAAAATTGCATAAATTCAAACAAAACATTCAACGTTAAAATTAACGCGGTTATGGTAATTTGTTAGAGATTATAATTAGCTGCAATTATTACACCATACGTTCTCTTTTTTTTTTTTTTTGTACTCTCAGTAAACCTTTTCTACCTATATGGTAAATTATCGCTCGTACTCATTATTTTCTACTGTTGCAACGTATTCGGTACAGAATAGTGTTTGAAATGGTATCGTTTTTAAATTATTTACTAATTTGTTTTCTCGTTAAAGAGTAAGTCAATACATTTTTTTTTCTGTATTTTTCGAGCCGTCGAGAGCAAAAGTGGTGTAAGTCACGAAAGGTTAAAGTAGAAATGCGTGTACGGTTTTTTGCCTGCCATCTAACGGACAACGAGAAAAGCAGAACACTAACTACTTTCGCAGGAAATAGATTGAAGTACCTATCGTGTTTTTGTGTGAAAACGTGACTTACACCACTTTTGCGCACTAAACGGCTCATATAGGATTATGAGCAACCAAGACATTAACGCACTCGAGTACACAAACTGTTGCGGTAATTTCGTTTTTTTTTTATAACTATAGAAAAGTGAGCGGTAATAGTATAGTATTCGGCGCGAACGACATTAGCAAACCGGAAAAAACTAATTGGAATAATGGTATGGCAGATGTGCATAACAGTAGGTTTCAACTGTCAAATAAAACCTAACTAGAAAAAAAAACTAATATTTTATCCCATAAAATTACATTTATTCCTTTGTAGGTAACGTTGAAAATATTACGCCTCGGGATTTGTTTACATCACCTATAGAGTTAAGTCTTTTGGAATCATATTTGTCAAATAGAAAAGTCTGTATACAATTTCTTCCGTTTTAAAAAAAGATACTCCCATTGATTGCTTATAACTGTTAATTTTGTTGTCTAAATAGGCCTATAACCAAAAGTCAAATCTAAGACCGATTCCAATCAGACAACAACAAAATAAAAAGCAGAATCGTCCTAAGCTTAAAGTTAATTATACTCCCAATCCTAAAGTTAATCCTACAATAAATTCTAAAATTAATCCTACGAAAAATTCTAAAATAAGTCCTCCTATTGATTCTAAAATTAATCCTCCTACTGATCCGAATAGTAATGCAAGTGTGCAGTCAACAAATAAAGGTGATGTATTGAAAAAAACCAAATCAGCCGAAGCACTAGATGAAGGGTTTGTAAAACAAGTAAGAAAATGGGCCCTTCTCAAGCTTTCGAAAATTAGAAGTAGCTACCAAAAATCAGAAGCGTTTAAAGAGGATACAAATGTAAGAGCTACTATATTCTATTATTTATTGTCAATAGGATCAATCTTATTAATTAGACTTGCAATTTTAACATAATTTATACGCGAAATACAACTACGTTGATTTAATATATCATTATGTATTTTATAACCAAAATATATACATTTTATGCTAGTCCGTACCAAGTCGAAGCAAATAAAATGGCAACACTGATTGATTTACCAGTTTGGTAAAAATACAAATAGCTTGTGTATTTTCAACATTTATTATTCAATTAACTCTTTGTTGTCAGTAATCTAAATAAGTTATAACATCAAGTTACTGCCAGCAACAATAAATGTTACAATAAAATATAACCGAGAAAACATAGTCACTTTAAGCGCCGTCTTTCAAATTAGTTGATTAATAAATAATGAAACTTATTCACTATGTGTACCTAAGTCCTTCTACCGTTGTACTACATTAATGATATACATATTTACACTATTTTAAAGCTTAATATGTACAGTCAATTGAGAGCTGATGCCATATCAAAAGGAAACCTAGTCGATAAATCTAATCACAACGAAATGAAGTTTACAAAACGTGGAACAAAAAGTAAAATATAAATTAAAAGTACAGCAATAAAAAAAATATTAGTTAATATCATTATTAAATAATATAAATATTAGACGTATTATCTATTATTCTCTCATGTGAAAAGTATTAAAAATATGTTTTTTATTTTTTCTTACTGTATAGAATAATTTTTTGTTAATCGCAGACTTAATTTTTAAATAACTATATTATTACAGATAGTTATATAATTCAAAATAGTGATAGTAATAATTATTTTACATTACATCTGCAGTCTAACTTAAATTGTTTTTGGTTTATCATACGTATTAATCGAATAAATATATATTTTATGAAGGCTTTAAGAAACCAATGGTATTGGCAAACGATATTATAAGTGTATGGCAAGTAAAATATCCTAAAATCATATATAGCAAAGGTACGTGCATATCTGTGGTAGGGTGTTAAAAGCAGCTACGCCACTTTTTGTAAATTTTCAGTATATCATATAGGTATGTTTTAATATGTAATGCACAAAGTGACAAAATATTATACCTATTATATTCATTATTAAGCTATTAACATGAAACCTAATACTTAAGAATACATTTTCCTGAAAAATTGCACTTTCCTGAAAGTTAAAAAAAGGACATATCAGCTTCTGCCATCCTGCCATAGATGTAATTAAATTGTTTTATTATAAATTATAATGAAATTAAAAATATTATTTTATTATGTATTCAAGATTATAAAAGGTACAAATTTGGACTTGGTGTAGCAAAATCTTCAAATGGCAAATTCTATGCAGTGAGTAATCTAACATGATTTTTGGGCTATGAGTGATATTTATAATTCTCTGATGTTATATAAAATAATAAATAAATAAGAAAATTTAAAAATATGATTTAATCATAAGTTGTAGAAATATTTGCAGTATTGCTTAAGGATTTGATATTACTTTTGTTATATTTATACCTAACGAATAAACTTTTGATTTACAAGTCGGTACTGTTATACATTTGTACACTCACAACATTTAAAATATAAAAAGTTCTTTATAACTATATTGTGTTTTATATAATACCTTACATAACCTAAATGAAAGCATTCACTTGAAGTAGTTGTTTGGAAAGCAACTATCCATATCAAAATTTATAAATACCAACTCGACTTATAATGTTACCAATAAATGAGCTGTTATCAATTTTATTGTATTAAATTCAAGACGATTTTCAAAATACCCCACAATAACGGCTTAGTAGGCAACTTATTATCCATGTAAGAATGTTACGGCACTCCGCAAATAAAATATATATTTCATAAACGTAATTTGTATTCAATGATTTCATTATTGTCGTTACCTAATCTGCTATCATCACAATAACAACTGTTTTCTAATGAATGGGAATTATAACATTTTAACGTATGTTTATCAAATGGAGCTTTAGCACTTATTAGAAAACATAGAGAGAACATAGGCTTCAAGGTCACATATAGCTTAACTGGCCATATATTTTATTACATATTTATTGGTCTTTTAAATGGCTGAAATAACGTTTTTTCGGTAAAACTTGGATTTAAACAAAATAAAATATTGGTATGTTAGTTTTAAACAAATCTTTAGTAACTTATCTTAATGTATACTACACTTTTACAGTAATTAACTTATTTCCTAGTCAAGCTAAAAGCTAAATTTTTTTAATGAGTAAACGACATTTTAGGAGGTATTTTAGACCTAAAAGTCTGACAAAATTACGCCTACTTAGGACAGTCCGATATTAGTTCTGTAATAAAAGTTCGAGTTATCTTATTACTTTACTAGGTTGTTTAGGAAACTAATTTTTTTTTAAAAACTTCAGTTTCTTGTAATTAAATAAGTTTAATTTGAAAATTTTTCCATAATGAAAAACAGCTTTTTGAATTTTTTTAGTTATATAGTCAGAAAACTCATACCTCTTAATAGAATTGAAATCGGACCATCCTAAGTAGTCGAAGTTTTGTCAGCCTTTTTTGTCTAAAACGCCCAAAAAACAGACTGCTTTCAATCCCCTTAATTATTAAACAATTTCTCAAACAAAATTAAAATAATTTTGACTGCTATTCAATAACCTATAGCGCATGTAGTGATGTTAAGTATATTTGTATTTTTACAAACAACTTATTAGACTAACATTGAATCATTTATGTTTAAAAAATATATATATATATTTTATATTCACAAAATATTGAAGTGACCATAAAAATTGCCGCGTTTAATTGCAAAACCAATGGCTGCACTCTTCTTCATTGATTATTAACTATTGTAAAAACTACAATCTAGTCTCTAATTGAGTATAAACGTTGATAATTAACTTTAAAATATATTCTAGCCTTTTTAAATAAGAATATGTTTTGTAAATATCTACTGTAGGTAGTTTAATCTTTCTTATCGGTGATGTAATAAAAAACACATTATTTTAAAAATAAAGAACATTTTAGTACATTATTCCTTGATCTGTATACTAGTAGACAATAATTTAATGGCCCTTAACTATAATATATTGTCCCTAATTGGCTCTTCCTAATAAAAATAAACACACGATATCTCCTATTGTTCTTGTAGCAAATCTATGATCAGAAGTTGTAACTGTAAGGTACTCGAATGGACCAAACAAACTTTTTTCTCGTATAGTTTTGGGACTTAAGGTCTGAAAACTCTACTTGCGTAAGTAGAAAAGTAAGGCCTAGATTGGGGCTATATCGTCCATAAAAATCTGTAATCAATTTTTTTTCTTAACAAAAACAAAACGGGTAAATTACACTGGCAATGTAAATAGTTTCTATATTATTATGCAATTGATTACGATATACAGCTCATGGGCTATGGGTAACGAATAGCATAATACGGATAAACAATAATATAACTTAAATAGATAATTGAAAACGCGTTAGAATATTATTATTTTGATAATTAACGTGAATATTTAAGACGGGTCGCGTTGTATGGAACAAATGAAATTCCAATAAACGGGAATCCCGGAAATGGTGTTCGAATGATATTACCGCCGATTTGTCTTAAAAGTCACACCAGAACGCGTCTGAAAATGACATAATATAATATTGCGAAAAAATAAAACATGATGTGTGTGTGCCTATATTTAATTTAAAATTGAAACAACACCTGCGCCGACTAGGAAAGGTTTTTGCGCTTCAAGTATATAGCTGTTGACGCCTGACGGAGAAGAAAGGAGGTTAAGTGCTCCGGTGGCCGCGATTATTATTTATTTCGTCGGTACTGTTTTCCTTCCATCTCTTCCGCCCTGTGGACGTGACGGCGGTCAAGTAGATAGGAAGGCGATATTATTATAATAGTGTAATAACCACCGACCGACAAGCAAACCGCGTTTTGGTACGAAAAACCACCGGTGGGGCATAGTATAAAATCAGAGTGTCGGAAGTGAGTGAAAGTGAAATCTCTTGCACGTCTCTCCGCGACCATATCTCCACTTACTGTGCCGTTCCTTCACGCCGAATTCTCGTCAACAGGTAAAACATTATTTTTTTAATTAACATTTGATTCACATTGCGCGTACAACTGATTTTTGTGTTAAATATTACAAAATATAACGTACACTTGATAAGAAATGTAATTATTATTGTCCGGCGTGTGTGCGAAACCTTACAGTGAGACACTATACGCTTGTCTGTAAACTGTCGTATGCGTGAAATGCTCGTGACACATACAGCTGTCGGTAAGGCTGTCGCTTTTTTCGATTCTCAGTCGATTAGAAGATAATGTTATACATATTAACCGTATGAAAAAACTTAATATTGCTGATGGTAATCGGTTTTGAAAGTTGTGAGTTTTTTTCCTCATAATTTCTCCTCTCTATACAATATGTTCCTATGAGAATCCGTAGGACACCAGGCTGTTTTCTATTTAATACTCGAGTTCCCTTGTAATATGGATGTTTAAAATTAATCCGCACCAACACAACGGGCTGGTGGTAGGTTTTTATAAATTTGTTTTTTGTTCGAGAAAATTCAGTAGAATTTAATTTGCATCCTCAATTATTATTCTCATTAGATCGTTATAATATCTTAATGTATGATTTGCATCCTAGTTGGACCTAGCCTTTACTAGTGAGGGATGTTTTCCGTTCAAGTTTAATGTCGAAATTGAAAATGGTATATTTCATATGCGCCCTATTAGAAAAAAATGTTTGCCATGCCAATAAAAAATTGCCCTACACGACGCCACAACGGCTTTGTCGGCTTCCATCGGCTGAATATACGTTTCACAGCCACGGCCAAAGGTCATCGTCCTCGCTTAAGAATAATCACAATAGTTTTGTGCGTGTATTATCGTCTGAAGACACTCGAACATAAAACCTATACCATCACCGTAGTGTTTTAAGCAAACTCTATTGTGTCTGTTTAAATCGGTTAAAAATTGTAAAAACATCTCCGGAAAACAAACGCCGTATATGTTATATGTTTTTAATTTTGTAACTGGGATGAACATTGCCGATGGCCGATGATATAACCGGTGTTGCACAATTCGGCGGGCCGACTAGTAGTATGTATAATAACAATAATGCATACGGGGCCGCAAGAACTACGGAAAACGAAAGCGAATGACCGGTTTAGTTGCTTCCGATGGGCGAAAGCAATCGAAAGTCTCACACACATACACACGTACTACAGCTGCATATACATACTCGATACTACACAGACATGCCCATTATTACATAACCCGCTATAATCATTTATTTGTTCTTACATTATATTATACACACACGCGCGCTAAGATACACGTAATAGACACACAACAAATAGCGGCGGTTACGTTTAAGGTCATCGCACGCGATATTATGTATTATCTCACTGGTTCTTGGCATTCCGCTTTTGAATTCACGGTCAAACGTTCACCTACAATTTACCGCCCAACGCTATTTTCATTTAACGCGCCGTCAGCTCGGATCACAATAATATAATATATTATATACATTTAGATAATAATGATAATAATCAATTGACCATTTTTTTTTCAGAATGTGGATCCTCGCGTTGGTGCTGTTCAGTGTCTTCGTGGCACTCCTCTCTTATTTGGACATGAGAAAACCCAAAAACTATCCACCGGGTATGGTTGTTGCACGCGGTTCTCGGCCTCCGTTGTAGCCCATAAAGAAAAAATGATCCGGACAGTTTTATTAAAGCCGTTACTTTGCCCACAGGTCCCAAATGGTTGCCGGTACTGGGCAGTGCGCTAACCGTGGCTTCACTCCGCAAACAGACCGGATACTTGTACCGGGCCACGATATGTTTGGCGGAAAACTACGGTCCCATCGTAGGCCTAAAGGTGGGCAAGGACCGACAGGTGGTGTGTTGCGGTTACAACGCCATCAAGGAGATGTTGACAAAGGAAGAGTTCGACGGGCGCCCGCAAGGGCCGTTCTACGAGACCCGGACTTGGGGCACTCGCAGAGGTAAGTCGCGTTCAAACGATTTTGGTCTGTACACCGACTATTTTTATATATACTCATGTTTTATAACGCTTTGTCGGTGAACAGGTCTTTTGCTGACCGACGAAGAGTTTTGGGTTGAACAGCGTCGATTCGTGTTGCGTCACTTGCGCGAGTTTGGTTTCGGCAAAAGGACCATGGCCGAGCTGGTCCAGGAAGAAGCCGTTCAGCTGGTCGAAATGTTCAAGGAGAAAATCGCCAATTCCAAAAACGGCCGTAGCAAGATATTTGCCATGCGCGACGCGTTCAGCGTGGGCGTCCTCAACACCCTATGGTCCATGATGGCCAGCAAGAGATACGACCCCGAAGACAAAGAACTCAAAGACTTGCAGGCGCTACTCACCGACTTGTTCGCTAATATCGACATGGTGGGAACGCTCTTCAGTCAATTCCCGTTCCTGAGGTACGTGGCGCCAGACGCTTCTGGATACACGTCGTTCGTTAACATCCACCAACGCGTATGGGCATTCCTCAGAGAAGAGCTGGACAACCACAAAAAAACGTTCGTGCTAGACCAGCCTCGTGACCTAATGGACGTGTACTTGCAAATGTTGCATTCGGATGACAAGAAAGACAGCTATTCCGGTAGGTCACTTCTCGTTGATCACAAACACATATTTTTTATTTATTACCGAATGATTTCCGTTTTAGAATCTCAACTACTAGCCATCTGCATGGACATGTTCATGGCTGGTTCGGAGACCACGAGCAAGTCGCTAGGATTCGGATTCCTTTACTTGCTTCTGAACCCAGAAGTACAGAAAAAGGCGCAAGAAGAAATTGACAGAGTGATCGGTCGCGATAGACTGCCTACCCTTAACGACAGGCCCAAGTAATAGTTTTACACTGTACCCTGAGCCGCTGTAATTACTAACATCGCTACTTCTACTATTTCAGCATGCCGTATTTGGAAGCTCTGGTGCTGGAATCCGTCCGGGTGTTTATGGGTCGTACGTTCAGCATACCACACAGAGCGTTGAAGGACACGACTTTGCAGGGTTACTATATTCCTAAAGTGAGTACAAAAATAAATTATTATTGGAAAGGCGGACTGTACTAGTGACTACCGTTATGTTAGACGGTTGTGAACGGAACCCAATCCGCTCCCGATAACAGATTCTTAACCGTTTACACGTTCTACTGTTGCAGGACACCATGGTCATTGCCAACTTTGCCGCTCTACTCAACGACGACGACGTTTGGGATTCTCCTGAGAAATTTTTGCCTGAAAGGTTCATCGGCGTCGACGGCAAGCTCATCGTTCCCGACGAGTACTTGCCCTTCGGATACGGTAAGCTCGAGCGAGCCTATTAAAATGCGGACGACCTAAACTTTTGCGTCTCTTTTTACAGGCAAACACCGTTGCATGGGTCAAACCCTGGCCCGATCGAACATATTCCTGTTCACGGCCTGTCTTTTGCAAAACTTTGACTTCGCCATCCCACCGGGCCAAAATCCGCCAAGTACTTTGGGAGTGGACGGTGTGACTCCATCGCCGGGAGAATTCGACGCCTACGTCACACTGCGTTCGTGATAACGCAATGACAATCGTTCTAACATTACTATACAAGACATCATAATAACACGCTTTGACTACTATGATACCGGACCATCTCGGCTAGTGGCATCCGCAGACGAGCCCAATAAAGGATCTTTATTTTTGTAAAAATTAACTCTAATATAATATTGTCCTTGTCGTTTACTATCGACACGTTACCTATAATTTAGAATAAGCTCATCGCGTACAAGAACGTTATAATATTTAATAACGTTGATTTTATAATAATACACTACGTTATAGAGATCGACGCCATCCCGTTGTTGAAAGTGGTAACGAGTGACTGACGTTCAAGTGCGGTAGTACTTGTAGGATACATTCCCTACTTAGTTGGAACCCTCTTGAACTCATGTCTGTCGCTGTCGTTTTTCACAATAGGGAGCAGGCTATTATATTGATGACTTATATATAATTGTATATTTTTAAATCAATGCATTAATGTAATAATTAGTTTTATAGTATTATGATAACTCGTCGTCGGCAGCTCGTGTCAAACCTACAAACGCACAATTGACACACTTGCTTATTTAGTTTTTTTTTAAACCTACCATATACTCATATCACAAGATTAAGATACGAATTAATGTTTGAGATTTTGTGGTTATAACTTGAGCCGTCGACGATGTAATGAATTGACTGACGGATCGAACTTTGTCCAAATCCGAAAAATAAATTTGTACTTATAATTATTGTAGCTGTATTAATTTTTTTTCCAATAAATTCTACATAACTTAAGAACGTGCTTTTTGTGTCCTAATTTCCTTTACGTTCGTTTCGCTCTTAATCTTAATCTCAACCACATCTGAGTGTTACATAATGAAAAACGTGCGGATATTATATGATATATAGTTTTATCTAATACCATAGCTGTTCCCAGACGTATACAATACTTGAGTAAAACTATAAAAATTAAAATATCCTTTATCGCAGTATTAGGAGTAAATTATTTTGGTAGTTTAGATGGTTAATAAAAGTATCAATATGTACCTTGCCGTTCAATGATACATCATAACGACTTAATGACATTTTAAAAACGTGTGCATCACTTCATAATAATTAGTAAACGTTTAACAGCACAGCAGTAGTATACAAATAGTTTTATTTGTATACTATAATTACAATTGTGCAATTAGAAAGTATCTGCGACTTTCGCGAAGCCAAAATTATGCATGTCTGCCAATCACGGCGCCAATTCCCGACTAACCCGACAATTTTATTGATATAATCTCAACTATGATGTCACTAAAAAAAAAAAGTCATGAGCTTTACATCATTACCTATTGCACAATAGTAGCAATAACAGTACAACACCAATGCTAAAGTATAACCTTGAAGTGTACTGCAGTGGACGAGTGGCCGTGTGGGTAAGGGGGCAGTGTATTAGCGCTCACTGGTCTGAGAATGAAATTTGAAAATAAGATCTCATTAGTATATTGATATGTTTACAAAATATTAAATTTTAACTTGATTTGAACTAGAGTTATAGCCAAGAAAACTAGACAGATTTGGTTATTTTGCAAATAACAATGTCAAAACTCCATTGGTTCTTTTCGGCCTTGATTTCCCATTATTACGTTATAGCCCTTCACACTCCATCGCGCCTAGTACTTGAAAATAACATATTTTATTATTATGTGTTTGCAGAGATTATAAGCTTTCTATGACAATTTGTTTTTAAATAACCTTATATTTATTTTTATTACTAAGATTTTTGTGGGTTACAGATGTAGTGGAACGCATATGTGACTTTACTAAGCCATAAAACCTATTCCCGGGCAATAAAGCCACAAGCAGTTATAATAATAATAATAATGTGGGCTATTAGGACTAGTGTAATAACTACAACTGCCATCGAATGTAGTTCGTGTACTCAAGTGTATGCTAGGTAGGGTTTAGGTATTTGGATTTATTACACCTGCAAATCGGAAACCGGTAATGTAACTATTACGAACGAAATTCCCAAGACCCACTCGTTCGTGGTAAGTCGGTCAACAAGTATGTAATTTTTTTCTTGTTCCTATAAATGTTTTGTTGTTTCCGGTACAGCGTGATTCTTTTCAGAGGTAGACATTGATGAAGCACCCCACAAAAATACTATTATAATAACGATAAGCATTTTATATAAGAAAAAGTCGTTTCTTACCAACTACGTTTCTTCCTTGGCACTATAATTTTATATCATATTTGATTTAAGCAAATTTATTGAAGACAAATTATATTATATAAAATATTGCGTTAAATTTTGTTTAATAAATTAAGTAACTTGTCATTTTTAAATAAAATGTACATATACATATTCTATCATATTTTATGTATCAATTCATGTCCAACTCTGAATCCATTATCTACAAAAGTACATTGTATATCAAGTGGTGCTATTAAAATGGAAATATTTTTCAAAATTGCCTGACATCATTCGAGTGTTTTTGAAAAATAGAAAATCTAAAACAACTATTACTAAATATTAAATACTTTTTTTTTATAGCCTTTATTAATAAAAAATATTTGGCTCAACAATTAGACAGTAAATAAATGAACACTTAATATTGTTTGTTTATAAATATTATTGCATCAAACAAAAATAGGTATGTTTTTTAATCATTAAACTATGTACCCCTGAAAAAATAAAGTAATGTATTAACAATGCACGTACTTGATTGGTTCCTTAAAAATATCTAATAAATAACGGGATAAAAGTAACAAAATACTATAGTTTTATAGAGTATTGAACTATTAGTTAGTAAGTACTAATAAAAAAAAAGATAAAAACGCTAAGACCCAGACAAAATTCTTTGAAGTAAGAAATAACAATCATTCAAGAATCTTCGTTACTGTATTTATAACAGTATACACTTAAGTTCTAACTCTAAATTATGAATTTTGCAAATAATTGCCTATACTTTACTCCTTAAACATAAGCGGAGTGGGTTTTAAGGAGTTTTATATAGGCAATATCTAAAAATAAAGGGGTTTTAATGAATTTCGACCATTTCAATTTATTTGTATAGGATTCAAGGTATTATTTTTAACTAGCTATATACATTATTACCTATTTATTGGTCGTTTAAATGGCTAAAATAACGTTTTTCGGTAAAACCGGGATTTTTGTGTTTCAAATGGCAATCACTACAAAAATTCATTAAGGAATTGGCAATTTTGCTGGTCGATGGCGCATGTGCACGAAACTAATGTTTGTGGTTTTTCCACAATAAGTGCAAACAAGATCACAATTAATGAAACTATCTCGAGGAAAGTTATCTCTGGTTAGGTCAGACAAAATAATATGTATAAACACAATCAATTCTAATGTATGATTGACATATTCATAAAGTTGCATTACCGGCACTTGATAATTACATATAATCCGGTATCATGCACTCCTAGGATAATTAACAAATCACAAACACAATACTTTACAATAATAAGTTAGCAAACTATCTTAACTGGATGATACAAAATCTGATAAATTTGATTTTTTTCTATAAAATGCCATCTTAGAAAAAATCTTAAAATTATTTTACACGAGCCAAATATTTTTACAAAACAGATGTTTCAAATAAAATGTATTTTCTACATTTAATAAAAAATTGTATCTAAATTATCCTTACATTTTCAGAGAAAAACTGAATAAAGTTGATTTAATGTCATATTCACTTTGTATTTTGTTCGTCACCAATTTAACAACATTTTTATCAAAAAAATATAAATAAATATAACATATTTTTTAAAAATAGTTATATGAATAAAAAATATTGGAAGTTATTATCAGGTACTTTATAATGTTGGCCTAAATCGCAAAGCTTTTCCAAACTGATAAATTTCTCACAAGAAGCAAATAACATTTAGTTAACTAAAAAATACGATTTCTCAATTTCATGGGTACATTGTTCGCCATTTAAGTAATAAATAATTATGGAGATATGACCTTAGTGATTTAGAGAAACGATAGTTACCCCGTTTTAAACAAATATTTAGTAACATATCTTAAGTATACTTCAATTGCACAGTACTTGACTAATTTCCAAGTCAAGCTAAAAGATTGAAAGCTTACAATGTCGTCAACAATTTTTCACAGTTTATTTTATTTAACTATAACTTAAACATATTTGTTATGAAAATACCAAGAAATGAATTCTACAATTTAATTTTAAAAAATGAATACTATTGCCGAGAAATTTATCTCGGAACAGAATATGGTTGTTCTTCTTCTGACTCGTGGTACTTGATATAGCTTTCTCTATGGCTAAAATCTTTTTTGTCTTCTTGCCAGCCTCTTTCAAGAGCTCGTTCATAATCAAATCTCTCCTTTGTTTTACCATACAGTTCATCAATTTCATCCAATTCATCCCTAAAAAACAATAATTGTAGTTAATTAATACAAAAAAAAATATTATCTTTTAATACTTCTAACACATTCAAATTCAATATATGCTAAATTTTTTGGATTTTATTTAACACCTAGGTATTATTATTTATTATAAATACAATATATATTGTAATATATATTGCAATGATAAGCAATGATATTATCAATTATTATGAATACATTTAAGAGAGCCTATAAACATATGTACATAATTTAAATTTATAAGGCCTCTGTCTCTCAGATATGTAGACCCTACGTGAGGTCAACATAGGACAATTTTATTTAAAAAATAAAATAATATGAAAATATTGAGTGAAAACAATTATTTTTATAGGATAGTTGTTTAATATTAACTACTAGTTAAGGGGAACGGAAAGCGTCAATTTTTTTACAAATAAAGACTAAAACGATGGGTTACTTTCCGAAATGTCTACTGAAACCGATTTCAATACTTTTTTGTTTGTTTTATAGTTTAACATCTTCTCTATGGGGGCTGAAAACTTGAAATCCGTTCGATAGATACACCAGAAAATTACTTCTACGAAAGTTATTTTTTATCAAACTTCTGTCGTAACTCGGCTTAAAATAACTTTATAAGTATTATAACTAGAAAATTGTAATATGTGTTAACCTTGAAATTAGTAGACATATGAAAAATAGCTATTAGATCAATTTTTGTCAAATATTGTCTATCCTATAATAAATAGCACTTTCCGTTCCCCTTAATGTAAAACATTTTAAATAGAACCGATAAAATTAAAAATTTTAAATGTTTTATTTGTTCTTAAATTTGTTCAAATGAAAATCTATTTGGAATTATGTTTTTAATATTTGTTTCAATAACAATGGAATTGTATTTTATAATTAAGTTTTTATTTAATACATTTTTATTTATTTACTTTTTAAATTTTAAACAAAGAACAAATAAATAAAATTATTATTATAATATTTTTAAAAATAAAATATTAACTAACAAATAATATATGATGTATGATATATGATTATGTAAAAAATAATTTATTAAAGAAATAATATTTTTAATTTTTCCTTTGTTAGCTATTAGTTTACATGTTTTTATAAACTTATTTTTTATTAACTAAAATTAAATAGTTTAATAATTTATATTTTCTTATAAAATCTAAGTACCTAGTCCAAATAATCAAGTTTAAAATGTATGTTAAACCATTATTATGTAAAAGTTACATTGAAATAATGTACTCATGAAATTTTACATCACCTAATTGAAAGTATACAAAACAAACCTGTATCTAACTATCCCATAACGAACCGCTGCAACTTTTTTGTTAGATATCGGGTCTGTGACATTGCCCAGTGGATACACTACTTTAAGCACATTGTGTGTAATAAGAGTAGTTAGTTTATTAGGAAGTTCTTGAATGAGAACTACATCTCCAGTTTTACACAATTTTTGTGGATCGTGAGCATAGAAAACTTCGTCTTTGTTAAAATACTAGAAGAAACACATGTAGTTTAAAGAAAAAAAATAACAGCTTTGCACAGTCGGTTAATACATAATGAAACACATGAAATATTACCATCAAAAGATTTTCATCCAATTCCAGTTTTTTTACAATGATTTTAGATGCATTTTTTTTGACAGATGGGACGCATCGACCCAAAAGCATCATCGACCGAGCTGCTCCGGCAACACTCATTGCTTGCAAGTAGTAATTGTATTATAATATATTTTTTTTTAATTAATAAAGTAAAAATAAGTATTTACAGTTCAAGCATAATAGTTACTTAGCCGACTTCGGACATTGTGATTCGTGAGGGCACCGGATAAACAGTAGTGATAACAATGGTATCTGTTATCATCAATAGATAACAGGCACGTGATGCATCTTGATAATATCCTTTTGATTGGACGTTGAGTTGTTAGTTTTATTAATATTACTGTAAAATTATATTTTTGCAAGGTCTAAGAACACAGTAATTGTGTGTACGTCTTAATTAGTTGTTTTTTATTTTAATATTAAAATAATTTTAATATCATATTTACTGTGTTAACATAAATAACCGCCAGATGGCGCACTAAATAATATAATAGCTTTTTTTATGCAAATTCAACTAGAACATAATAATTATTATAAAACTATTATAAAAATGTTATAAAAGACAAAATTTCAAAGTTCTTAATCGGACCCTTAGACCACTATAGTAAACCTTACACTTATTCAGTTATTTATTACAGTAGTATTTTAGATTTTTTGTATTATTTTTTTCATACAATCATCCGTAATTTTGGTGCTAACACGTGATAAAATTTGAAATCAAAACCTTCAAAAACAAATTCTGTACTATTATGGCATTAATATCAATATTTTTTTCTCCGATTAATTTTAAAAACAAATTATCAACTGCTCTGAAAATCTGTATCCAACCTATTTTGATAGACCATTTATGCAAACCCGGAACCTACATATTATGAGGCACTCAGATGCCAAACCAATTAACTCCGCTTATTTTTAAATTGCGAATAATAGCATGGTTGGATTAAAAGAAGTGTATAATTTTCAGTGGCCAAGATAAATAACTCCATAGTTGAATTTTTCACTACTAGAGTGCGCTAAGAAAATTGGCAGTTGTTCTTACATAGGTACATTGTTTCAAATAACTTTACTGCCTACTCTGAAAATTTTAATTTTATGGAGTTAATCAGTTTGGCTTCTGGGCGCCTCATATAATTATCTAAAACAATTATGTGAATAATGTGTACAGATACCTACACGGTACACCGTATATTTTAACCAACATTTAAGAGGTCAAATCCCCTATTTATTAAGAACTTAGGTATGGGCAACTTTTTACAAAAACATTTAACTGTGATGTGTAATTATTAAGTTATTTTAGAGATAAAAACACATTTAATAAAAAAAAATATAGAGGATAAGAGGAAACCGAGGGAACCTCGTTTGTGTATTACATAATACACAAATAATGCATAATATATAAAATAAAATAAAACACCAATAATAAAGCTAATTAGGCAGTAGCCTATTCTTCGATTGACGATATATTTATTTTTTGTTAAATATTATAGAAAGAGTTAAGAAAATGTAGTAAAAATGAATGAGTTTATAAAAAAAAGGATAATATTATGGGTAATGGGAATGGGGTAAATATAAACGGTATGGGTAAGTACTAAATACCCGGTATTATTTACCCATCAATGTTTCCATTGATGACCCAGTCTTCTACCCATCGGACGACTCATCACTATCAGGGAGCAAATTTTTCCTACGGATACAGGTTTGCCTACCACCAGTTCCGCTGCAATTTGTCCAATACATCCGTTTGTCTCTTCGTACCAATAATATACTTATGATACGATGCCGGTTGTTTTTCTCTAAACAAAAAAATAATAATAATAATAAGGAAAAATTTAAGAAGACGGTTGCGGCGGCGCAAGGGCAATATGTCTCGGTTGGCAAGCGCCTCCCTTTGCTTACCGCGACGGACACGCCCTAAAGCCGTACCGGCAAAGCTGCCGACGCGCGTGAAAATCCCTTTGCGCGATCCGCGTGTACGCCACCGCCACCGATAGAGTCGCGCTCCGCCGCCACCGTTTGTGTAGCTCGTCGCGCTGCCATTAAAGCTACTGTCGGTGGCTATATAACCGTATATGTACATGGCCACCATGCTATACCTATGTATACACACGAGTAGTACCTAGCTCGCGTGTAGCTATTTTATTGTGTAGCTCGTTGAAAACTCGGTCCCGCACGGCGTACTTACCGGTTTGACGACATTTCCGTGCACATCACGGCCGCTTATCGGTTGCGGACGACGCGATGACGACGAGGTGAGTTTACATCAGAATAAGTCACAGTCGGTTGTCATAAAAAATGGTAATTTATTTATCCCGGTAAGCCATTAAATATCTATTGTGTAGATACTCTTATGTATACTGTGGCTTTAGAAAGGGATAATAAAATCAGTGAAACGGTCCTAAAAAGGTTTTTAAAAATGTCCAAAGCATCTGTTGCAACGCGACTACGTCAAATGTTTGGCAAAAAGAACCAAATTATTGTTCTAAAACCCTTTTAGATGGGATATTTAAATATCAACTCTACTAGCTAACGTTGCGCACGCTTTATGTACAAAAACCTGTTCTCTTTATTCAGACGCTTTAACATTGTCGTACATAATCGGGAATTCATATTAAAAACGTCCGAGAGAATTATTTATTAGTGTTAAGTAATGGTTATTCAATATGGGTAAATGTAAAAGTGTTTTTTTTTTTAACAAAATAATAGATGGTTTTAATTTTAACTTAACAAACAATTAATTATAAGATGTTACTATATTATAAAATGTGATAAACATTGTTTGTAAAAGTAACAATAATAGAAGTAAATAAACAACATAACTTAGCTTTTGTATACTTGATTGTAGCAACCTAATGGTGTATTGGGATTTGGGGGTTGCACTTGGAACCCCTGGGTCGCAAAAGTATCTTTTGTTACTCCAACACATGATGCCGAATGTCAAAGGTCGTTTTATAATCAGCGAATGTATTAAAATGTGATAATATTAGTATTATATATATCATATTACCTACATCTATTGAATATTAATATTATTATATCCTATACACGACACTGTTTGACATAAAAAATATTATAGTTCTCCTTGAATTTTCATATGTATTTCGGCATGGCGTCTGGCCATCATTTCTTCGCGGTTCGCAACATAAAAAACTTATAAAAGCTTAAACACAATAAATTTCTAGTTGGAATAACTAAACAAATCGTTGGCCCAACTAAAATTTAGTTGGCCGAACAAAATGTATAGTTGCTTTACCCAAAAATTTAGTTGGCCCAACTATTTATTTAGTTATTCCAACTAGAAAATGTATTGTGTCCTTATATTAACTATAATTTTAGTTGGACCAACTATGTATTTTGTTCTGTGCAAAATAAATAGTTTATGAAATAATTATTAATGCCAACAAAATTAAAATGTCTAGTAAACTATAATATGTAGGTAAACACATAACGACACGACCGCATAAAAATAATAATTGAATTCAAATCAATTTTTCCAAATTTTAATGGTCAAAATAAAGTATGCAACTAATAATTTGTCTAGCTAGACTTCTTTTATTTGAACAACATAAATTATGTGGATACATAAACAGTCGAAAGACCATCTTCTGTATAGAAGATGTTATTGATTTATTTGTTGATGTAGCTACACTAAGTAAAAATGTAACTACATTTTTCTAATCGTATACCTAACGGTTTATGATTTTTGATTTAACGATGGCCCGTTTTTATTTTTGTCCGAGGGGTATTTATTTATACTGTAAAACTGTATATTATGCTATTTAAATACAACTGGATACCTTGGATCGCCCTGAAGTGACTTAATAAACGTCAATCACCGCTGCCGAGAAAAGGGGATACGAAATTAATAAAGTCACATACTACAATCGTACGTGTGTGTGCAGTGTGTGTATTATGAAGAAGCTAGCGGCTTTAAGGGATTACACATATAGCTTGGCGGGGAGACAGCACGTGCACAGCAGAGTGTAAGTGTGTGTGTGCTCAAAACATTGTTGAATATTTTTTCGATTAAAAACGTCACGGCGATTATTGATAAATTTCGAGGGGAACAGTCCGTGTATAAATATATACACAATACATACATACACATTCAATAAAACAATTCCATATACATTATCATTATAATATAGGTACGTAGATACATTGAAACATCAAAGAATGGTCCATTGATATACAATAGTGGACTAAGGCAAAAAAAAGAAATTATTTAAAAGTTTTGCCTAAAATATGCATGTGGACGACAACAAAAAAAGCAAGAAAATTTGAATAATATTTTTTTATGTCATACATATTCGTTTATTGTCTGTAAGAAGTTGAAACGTGCACCAATAAGCAATTTATTTATTTTCTCAAGAATATTGTCCCAGCGCATAAGCGCACTTAAGTATTTGGAAAATGTCCTAAACGTACGTGCAGTCTATGTATGGTAATATTTTAGGAAAATAAGTATTATCTAATTACCTATTTACTTGAAATCAATGACCACGAGTTTAATTCTTATAAGTATTAATATCGAATGCAGAAATTAACTGATTTATCGACCTAACAGCTTCTGTAGCTTATTTAAAAACCTGACAATATCAATTGACTATAATATAATCTGCATTAAATAATAAATGGTAAAAATAATACATATTTACTCGGAGCAATGATTAACAGCTATAGAATAAAGTTTCTCAAAATTATATTTCATTGTCACCGAATTAAATGTTGCAAAAATTGTTTACTTTAGTACGCTAATTATAAACATCCTTTCTCGCCTTAATTCGTTTACTCAAACGGACATAAATCGACGAACAACACAATAGATATAATAGTTTAAATGAGGTTAACAGCACAAAACACGGATTAAAATAAAGCTTCGACAATTAATATTAAGTAACAATAACAAAATTAAGTACTGACGTTTGTTCAGTACTATGACCCCTATCATTCAGTGTTCTGTATGGTTACAATTTACAGTTATAAAAACAATAATATACAAGTAATAAGTATTATATTAGCCAAGAAGGTACAGAAATCAGTATTAAGGGGATTCGATACCGACCGTTTTTAAGGAGTTTTGTATAGGCAATATTTAAGAAAAAAGTGGTCTTAATAAATTTCGATCATGTCAATTAATTTACCGGTTAATTTGTATAAGGTTCATCTGTGATCAATCGGATCACAGATCACTGGTTCTGTAATCTAAAAACAGCTTAGAATTCGTAATGAAGTTTACTTGGGATCCTACAAAGTACTTTTTTGATATATTTTTCTTACTATGAATAAAAAACGTTTGAACATTTTATAAAATTTTAAAATCAAATTTGTAAAGGGTTGAAATTCAAAAAAAGTGCCTCGTAGGATCTCAAGTAAACTTAATAACAAATTCAAATTTTTTTTCAGATTACTAATCGGATCTAACTGGTTCGGCCTGTGCAATGGACAAAAAATGATGTGTTTTGACTGAAAAAAAACGGCCGGTATCGAATCCCCTTAACATTATATGAATAACTGAAAAAGTCTGTTTATTCTAAAACCACTAGTTAAATACATATTTTTTAATAATAATTTGTAACTGTCGACGCACATTTAAAATAATGCATACAAGACGAGTGAAAATATAAATTATAACTCGAGTGATATTAGATATTATATTTTAATAAGAATAACCAAACATAATTTATTATGTTGGTATAAATTTCATTCTTACATTTTAGTCTAAATATAATCGCGCTGAGTGCAATCTCAACCATTTTAAAAACGTTTTGTTGTGTGTCTACTATACTTGGTATCTGTCACTGTATTGGAATGAATTCAAACGTGTAAATTGTACACGGCTAACGTTTGACGAAACGCAACAGAACTGAACAAGTATTTTGCGTTTGTAATTTGTATACATTATCAAGCCGTTTAGTTCTTAATACCAATCAGTCACTAACTCCATAAATTTCAATTAAATTAAATCCTCATGTTATAAGAATTATCGGGGACGGCGTTTGAGTAAAATCAAATATTTCCACGAGGTTGTTGCATCTTCCTTGACTAGCTATAATGACTATATACAAGTTTTTTTCCTTCTATATTTCTTGGTAGCTTTTTAAAAGCTTCCTATGCCTTATACCGTGATTGCATTGACTATGCTCCACAAATTACAACGGTCAAAGGTAACAAAAATGAACACATGTCAGCTGACCTTACCTTATATGTCAGCACTGATGCGGATACGTTGAATGTATGATTCATATGTTTATGTTGTGCAGGCGTTAAACGATATTATCATGAAGACGGCGTTGGGCTTGGTCAAGCTGGAAATGGAACCAGCCTTTGGAGACGAGCTGATCGCGGAAACGTCGTCTGCGGCCACGGTATCGACAGTGTGCGCTGAATGCGAATGTGCCATAACCGACAGATACATCATGCGAGTATCCGGTCGGTCGTACCACGAGAGGTGTCTTAAGTGTTCAGCCTGTGCGTTAAAATTAGACCGGTCGTGCTTTGTATGGAACGCTAAACTTTACTGCCGTCCGGACTACGAGAAGTGAGTACACATCGTCATAGTATGCCAATGAACTATAGTAATTATACAATTTATCGATTATTGGCTAGGTCTAGTGTATACCGCTTAAACTGTCAATTATGTTTAAAAAAAGTATTATGTGGTCCCCAGCGCGGATTTCCACCCTAAATCTACTTTAACCAATTTACTTGTTTTTTACTCTGATGTAAATTTTGAGATTTATCAGATGATAAATTATCATCTATTTTGCACATAAAACAGAAATAATAATTGTAGTTGTTTACATTTATCCCGATAATACTGTAGAAAACATAATAAAATGTTTGCATAGGACTATAGGAGACTACTCATTTACAGCCGAGTAGGCTCTCGAGAATTGGGAGAGAACTACCCATACATTACTACTGATTTTAGCTGGAGATTTCGATATTAATTATGCAACCGAACATGCTTAACCTCTTTTCCAGTTGTTTCTTAGTATCACTTAAGTTAATAATGAGTTATAATCCTGATGAATCTACAAATTGATACGGCACAACAATGTTGGATATATTGCTGATGACTCTAACGATGAAAACAATGCCGTTGAAAGTATTATTTCTAATTATTTCTAAATCTTATTATTATTAAAACCAGACTTGCAGTGTTTGAGCGAACAATTCTAAGAAGAATTTATGGACAATGTATCGACTCTGACACCGGATAATGGAGGATTAGTCACAATGAGGAATTAAAGACCTTGTTTAAAAAAACAGACATTATTGCAGAAATTACGAGAAGAAAATGTTGTTTGAATATTTGTATTCGCGTTGTACTCATTGCCTAGTTTGGACGTTGTTTCTAAAAAAAAATAAAAATAATAGTAATACCTAGTTATAGAATATTATTTATTGTTATGTATTATTTATATATATGTGCAGGGCAAATTATTTTTTTTTTAGCCGGGGTTTTATTTTCTAATAACAATTTTAAACTCGTGTAGATTCAAATAAATACTATTACCATTTGGTACAATATGCTAGGTTAACGTGATTGATACTAGTTCCGCAGTGTAAGCTCTTATTAAAAAAAAAAAAGCAACGTGAAGCGTATCAATTAATGGCCATATTTTTGTTAAACTTCGCTTGTCTTTTAAGTTTTAACCCAAATTTAACCACAACACGTTATAATTAATACGAAAATTATGCGGTAGTCGATATTTGAATATATTTTTCAACGGCCAGTTTCTCACCGATAAAGCTGTATAATATTATAATGTGGGCATGACGTTTATCGCCCGACCGTCATTACTCGGGAGTAATTATGATTATTATTATTGCAGTTAAATGCGGCGCGACGTGTGCGGTGGTTTTCGGGATTGATTTGTGGCACGCGGCCCAGCTTTATGGTACCGAGCTCGAGGGACCTCGTGGATACAGTGCCGGCGTTTATGGCGCGCGCGTGTCCCCGTCCCGGTGGTGGGCCCGCCTCGTGTCGGTTAATACCTCGCGCCCGGTCGTTTATTAATTCATCGACGGCGACTTCATTACTTCACCGAAGACGGCACGCCACCACAAATAGCCGACCCGTTAAAATGTTATACCATACCATACCGTATGACCTGCTGGCCATAAAACGGCGAGGTTCGGTGGTCTCTATGCATATTTTACCACGGTTGCTGTGTCTAAAAACCACCCTATATTAGGTATAACTAGAGCTCGCACGTTAATGACCATAAATGTATTTTAAAACGTGCAATTATATGCCTTTATTTTATGTATCGACAGAACATCTCATTACAATTCTGTGGCTTGGAGCAAGAAGGGCCAATGTCAATTTTGTGCATAAACGAGTTAGTCCGCTAATTGCAAAAATTCAATCAATCTTTATATACTGTGAAAAAATCACACTCTTAGGCCAAAAAATGAATTGCTCACGAAGAGTTTGATAAAAAAATTAACATAGAGCCTAATGGAAAATAAAAACTTCAAAGTTCATTTTCCGAAAGTCGCCACAGAATTATATTGGTGATGTTTTTTAATTTAAAACAACAATGAAAACTATTGAATTTGTTTGACACCTAACCAGAATTTTCGTATATTGTTTATAATTTTCTTTAGCTCATACTCGTAAACACGTTAAAAGATAAAAATTAAATACAACATTTTTATTAGTTATACTTAAAAAAATGCTATTAAATCTTGACATAATCGTCATAGGCAAATATATGCTCAAAAGTGTCAAATATATGAAAAATAAGTTTGCCGATTTCAAATGTAGTCTTTGTGAATTCAATTTCTATCGTATTGGGGTATAAATCTGATTTAACTAAAAAAATATGCAAAGTCATAAACATCCGTGCTTTAATTATGTCTGAAAACATTTACTTTGAATTAGAAACCACGTTTGCATGCAGTCGTAATACTGTTAAATTCGTGCAATGTGAATTCGGCCAACTCATTCTCGCACAAACTAAATAAATTAATAATATGTAAAATAATAACTAGAATTGAATGTCCTATACCTATTAAATTATAGTCTGAATCGGTTGTGGCATATTAATCATGTGACATTTTAAATGTAAATTAACTGATTTTATTTACTAATTTGGTAAAACTCAATTGCGATAATGTATAAACCGTTTCCAACCAGTGTTTATATGGATTTAGCTCCAAAACTTATCTAATTTGAATTTCGGATTACTAAAATATGATTTGAAAATTACCCACACGTACGTCTAACTACAATAAGTTACACGACTTTTTAAAATTAATCTTTTTTATATTCATATTTTTTATAGTAATAGTTCACACAATTTTTTATATATATATATTTCAAAAATATAACTTCATCTTATATGTGTGTAGGTGTCTTAACACCTTAAGAACTTAAGTTTTTCAATTGGTAATGTACACATTTTATTAACTTTTTAAAATTAAGAATAATTTATTGAAAATGTTGACTGGTCGCTTCCTAGTTTTGAACAACTACTCAATCGCATCCCACCTCCCGTGGTCAATGAAGTTAAGATAATATGTACGATACCATTTAAAATATTAAGTTCATAAGAGTTGACCACAAAGGTATGGTTATATTGTTGAAAAATATATCGTATTTGGGATTACTAACAACTAATAAAGCACGAAAATAATACTATAAAGAAGTCTAAAACCTTTCAATGTATTAACTGGGCCATAATTAACCAACCACCCTGTTAGCGTATCTATACCGTAATTAATATTACAGATAATTACCTACATTATCAATTTGTTATACATTTATATTGCTACAGACCGAATACCGATAATTATTTTTTACTAAATAAATATTCAATAACTTTCAAATCAATTTAAATATTAATAATGTATACAAAAAAATTGTATGTCTTGGTAAACAATAATTGTCTATTTTGAAAGTATTATCGAAATATAGCCCATATATATATACCTTCAATGGGTGTAGATTATTCTGTTTAGAGAGTACACACCGTGTCCTACTTACAACAAACCGTTATCAGTAGTGTGTTTACCTAATGCCTCGTTAAACACATACATGCAGTTACACATAAAATGATCTTATATTAGTGAGACTCGCCTACATAATATTTTATGAAAAACAAGAGTGAAAAAAAAATTTCAAAAAATGGCGTACAAAAATAACATTTCTTACAGGGCGAAGTTAGAAACCAAGCCGAAGAGTATTGTTTCTTTTTAACTGAAACAATTTTTAAATAAAAAATATTGAAACCTAGCTGGAGTAAAAATCGTACCGTAAGATACTAAAAGTTAAAATGTCGAACAACCCAAACTGGAACCATAATCAGCCGTAGGTACACATTTGGTATTATATTGATGAAGGATGAATTTGTTTACTTTTTCATTTTTATGAAACTACTAAACGGATTTTATTCCGGTTATCTTTGTTCCAATTATATTGGTGCTAGTAAAATATAAATTATTTGAATTTTATTATATTTGTAAATTAAATGCCCTTTAATAAAAAAATAATTATAATTAAAAAATCAATACCTTAGTTTATTTTTCTTAAATTTAGCAAAGTACATTTAATATATACATATATGTATATATACCGCTTATATTGTTTTAAGTGCTTACAAAATGGCCTCTTTGACATTGACTGGTAAAAAATGCTGATAAGCCGAGTGAAATATACTTCGAAAAGATAATATCGCATTGCAATGAACTCGGTTTTGAAACACTATATCTATACTTAAGTACAAAACGCACTAAACGTTATGATATTATAATGACAAGTTACATTATTACATTAGTTATATTAGTTTCATATTATATTAGTATCACGGTTCTCGATGAACGTTTTTTTTTTTTTTATAAGTACTTTAATAAAAATTTTTAACTGTCTTGCTGCTTATTATGTTGTACAAATACATTTATCTATACAATTTAGGTAGGTATACCAATTACCATGTAGTGCGATACTTACTAAATACCCGTGTCGGCTATATTGTAAAATAATAGCACTGCTCAGACGATTTCGTCGATTGTAGTTTAACCTGTAACATACATATGTTTTTTTCTATAAAAACAACTGTTGTGGGGATTTCGCAAACCCCCTAGATCATATAATAACGTAGATAGTATCATGTAGTCGACGGTGTTCGGTAAACGGTAACGTGTTCGGTGTAAAAAAAAAAAAAAGAGCCCAATGTGATTTTTATGGTGTTTTTTATGTGCGGTTGGGCAAACTGCTAGGAAAAGTTAAGCTATAAAAACATCATTACCCCGAGAACGCAGCCGACAATGTCATCATTCATAAAAGTCTGAACGCCGAAGGGGGTGAGAAAGCTCTTTCCGCAAGACAAATGTTCGTTCGATTCGCATGTACAAGTTTCCAGTAAACGTCTTGGCGGTGCGCGGTTGTGTAATATATTATTTGTCAACCGAAAATAATATACTGAATTATTGTATAAATATTATAAAACATGCTGAATTCTAAATAAATAATGCAGGACAAAAATATTGCTCATATGTTTAAAGTATTATAATACACAAACTGTAGCA